AATAAACACCAATTTCAGGCCGAAATGGTAAGGGCCGGGGTGGTTCAGCATTTTGGAGGAAAATATTATATTTTGTGAATAGGCTAGTTTCCCCACAATGAATGTACATACATGCCATTAGATGGATCCTGACCCCTAATCCCTTTGAAAGGGGCGTAGGGGCAAATATTGTGATAATTTGAATAAACACCAATTTCAGGCCGAAATGGTAAGGGCCGGGGTGGTTCAGCATTTTGGAGGAAAATACATATTTTTTTTAATAGGCTAGTTTCCCCACAATGAATGTACATACATGCCATTAGATGGATCCTGACCCCCATATATCTTTGGAAGGGGCGTAGGGGCAAATATTGTGATAATTTGAATAAACACCAATTTCAGGCCGAAATGGTAAGGGCCGGGGTGATTCAGCATTTTGGAGGAAAATATTATATTTTTTGAATAGGCTAGTTTCCCCACAATGAATGTACATACATGCCATTAGATGGATCTTGACCCCCATATCCCTTTGAAAGGGGCATAGGGGCAAATATTGTGATAATTTGAATAAACACCAATTTCAGGCCGAAATGGTAAGGGCCGGGGTGGTTCAGCATTTTGGAGGAAAATATTATATTTTGTGAATAGGCTAGTTTCCCCACAATGAATGTACCTACATGCCATTAGATGGATCCTGACCCCCAAATCCCTTTGAAAGGGGCGTAGGGGCAAATATTGTGATAATTTGAATAAACACCAATTTCAGGCCGAAATGGTAAGGGCCGGGGTGGTTCAGCATTTTGGAGGAAAATATATATTTTTTTTAATAGGCTAGTTTCCCCACAATGAATGTACATACATGCCATTAGATGGATCCTGACCCCCATATCCCTTTGAAAGGGGCGAAGGGGCAAATATTGTAAAAATTTGAATTATCACAACTTTCGTGCCGAAATTGTAAGGGCCGGGGTGGTTCAGCATTTTGGAGGAAATATATATTTTTTTTTAATAGGCTAGTTTCCCCACAATGAATGTACCTACATGCAATTAAATCGATTCTGACCCCCATATCCCTTTGAAAGGGGCGTAGTGGCAAATATTGTAAAAATTTGAATTATCACCACTTTTGGGCCGAAATTAGAAGGTCCGGGGTGGTTCAGCATTTTGGAGGAAAATATATATTTTTTTTAATAGGTTAGTTTCCCCACAATGAATGTCCATACATGCCATTAGATTGATCCTGACCCCCATATCCCTTTGAAAGGGGCGTAGGGGCAAATATTGTGATAATTTGAATAAACACCAATTTCAGGCTGAAATGGTAAGGGCCGGGGTGGTTCAGGATTTTGGAGGAAAATATATATTTTTTTAATAGGTTAGTTTCCCCACAATGAATGTCCTCACATGCCATTAGATGGATCTTGACCCCCATATCCCTTTGAAAGGGGCGTAGGGGCAAATATTGTGATAATTTGAATAAACACCAATTTCAGGCCGAAATGGTAAGTGCCGGGGTGGTTCAGCATTTTGGAGGAAAATATTTTATGTTTTGAATAGGCTAGTTTCACAACAATGAATGTACATACATGCCATTAGATGGATCCTGACCCCTAATCCCTTTGAAAGGGGCGTAGGGGCAAATATTGTGATAATTTGAATAAACACCAATTTCAGGCCGAAATGGTAAGGGCCGGGGTGGTTCAGCATTTTGGAGGAAAATATATATTTTTTTTAATAGGCTAGTTTCCCCACAATGAATGTACATACATGCCATTAGATGGATCCTGACCCCATATCTCTTTGGAAGGGGCGTAGGGGCAAATATTGTAAAAATTTGAATTATCACAACTTTCGGGCTGAAATTAGAAGGTCCGGAGTGGTTCAGCATTTTGAAGGAAAATATTATATTTTTTGATTAGGCTAGTTACCCCACAATGAATGTCCATACATGCCATTAGATGGATCCTGACCCCCATATCCCTTTGAAAGGGACGTAGGGGCAAATATTGTGATAATTTGAATAAACACCAATTTCAGGCCGAAATGGTAAGGGCCGGGGTGGTTCAGCATTTTGGAGGAAAATATTATATTTTTTGAATAGGCTAGTTTCCCCACAATGAATGTACATACATGCCATTAGATGGATCTTGACCCCCATATCCCTTTGAAAGGGGCGTAGGGGCAAATATTGTGATAATTTGAATAAACACCAATTTCAGGCCGAAATGGTAAGGGCCGGGGTGGTTCAGCATTTTGGAGGAAAATATTATATTTTGTGAATAGGCTAGTTTCCCCACAATGAATGTACATACATGCCATTAGATGGATCCTGACCCCCATATCTCTTTGGAAGGGGCGTAGGGGCAAATATTGTAAAAATTTGAATTATCACAACTTTCGGGCCGAAATTAGAAGGTCCGGGGTGGTTCAGCATTTTGAAGGAAAATATTATATTTTTTGATTAGGCTAGTTACCCCACAATGAATGTCCATACATGCCATTAGATGGATCCTGACCCCCATATCCCTTTGAAAGGGACGTAGGGGCAAATATTGTGATAATTTGAATAAACACCAATTTCAGGCTGAAATGGTAAGGGTCGGGGTGGTTCAGCATTTTGGAGGAAAATATTTTATTTTTTGAATAGGCTAGTTTCACAACAATGAATGTACATACATGCCATTAGATGGATCCTGACCCCTAATCCCTTTGAAAGGGGCGTAGGGGCAAATATTGTGATAATTTGAATAAACACCAATTTCAGGCCGAAATGGTAAGGGCCGGGGTGGTTCAGCATTTTGGAGGAAAATATTTTATTTTTTGAATAGGCTAGTTTCCCCACAATGAATGTACATACATGCCATTAGATGGATCTTGACCCCCATATCCCTTTGAAAGTGGCATAGGGGCAAATATTGTGATAATTTGAATAAACACCAATTTCAGGCCGAAATGGTAAGGGCCGGGGTGGTTCAGCATTTTGGAGGAAAATATTATATTTTGTGAATAGGCTAGTTTCCCCACAATAAATGTACCTACATGCCATTAGATGGATCCTGACCCCCAAATCCCTTTGAAAGGGGCGTAGGGGCAAATATTGTGATAATTTGAATAAACACCAATTTCAGGCCGAAATGGTAAGGGCCGGGGTGGTTCAGCATTTTGGAGGAAAATATATATTTTTTTTAATAGGCTAGTTTCCCCACAATGAATGTACATACATGCCATTAGATGGATCCTGACCCCCATATCCCTTTGAAAGGGGCAAAGGGGCAAATATTGTAAAAATTTGAATTATCACAACTTTCGTGCCGAAATTGTAAGGGCCGGGGTGGTTCAGCATTTTGGAGGAAAATATTTTATTTTTTGAATAGGCTAGTTTCCCCACAATGAATGTACATACATGCCATTAGATGGATCTTGACCCCCATATCCCTTTGAAAGGGGCGTAGGGGCAAATATTGTGATAATTTGAATAAACACCAATTTCAGGCCGAAATGGTAAGGGCCGGGGTGGTTCAGCATTTTGGAGGAAAATATTATATTTTGTGAATAGGCTAATTTCCCCACAATGAATGTACATACATGCCATTAGATGGATCCTGACCCCTAATCCCTTTGAAAGGGGCGTAGGGGCAAATATTGTGATAATTTGAATAAACACCAATTTCAGGCCGAAATGGTAAGGGCCGGGGTGGTTCAGCATTTTGGAGGAAAATACATATTTTTTTTAATAGGCTAGTTTCCCCACAATGAATGTACATACATGCCATTAGATGGATCCTGACCCCCATATCTCTTTGGAAGGGGCGTAGGGGCAAATATTGTAAAAATTTGAATTATCACAACTTTCGGGCCGAAATTAGAAGGTCCGGGGTGGTTCAGCATTTTGAAGGAAAATATTATATTTTTTGATTAGGCTAGTTACCCCACAATGAATGTCCATACATGCCATTAGATGGATCCTGACCCCCATATCCCTTTGAAAGGGACGTAGGGGCAAATATTGGGATAATTTGAATAAACACCAATTTCAGGCCGAAATGGTAAGGGCCGGGGTGGTTCAGCATTTTGGAGGAAAATATTATATTTTTTGAATAGGCTAGTTTCCCCACAATGAATGTACATACATGCCATTAGATGGATCTTGACCCCCATATCCCTTTGAAAGGGGCATAGGGGCAAATATTGTGATAATTTGAATAAACACCAATTTCAGGCCGAAATGGTAAGGGCCGGGGTGGTTCAGCATTTTGGAGGAAAATATTATATTTTGTGAATAGGCTAGTTTCCCCACAATGAATGTACCTACATGCCATTAGATGGATCCTGACCCCCAAATCCCTTTGAAAGGGGCGTAGGGGCAAATATTGTGATAATTTGAATAAACACCAATTTCAGGCCGAAATGGTAAGGGCCGGGGTGGTTCAGCATTTTGGAGGAAAATATATATTTTTTTAATAGGCTAGTTTCCCCACAATGAATGTACATACATGCCATTAGATGGATCCTGACCCCCATATCCCTTTGAAAGGGGCGAAGGGGCAAATATTGTAAAAATTTGAATTATCACAACTTTCGTGCCGAAATTGTAAGGGCCGGGGTGGTTCAGCATTTTGGAGGAAAATATATATTTTTTTTTAATAGGCTAGTTTCCCCACAATGAATGTACCTACATGCAATTAAATCGATTCTGACCCCCATATCCCTTTGAAAGGGGCGTAGTGGCAAATATTGTAAAAATTTGAATTATCACAACTTTTGGGCCGAAATTAGAAGGTCCGGGGTGGTTCAGCATTTTGGAGGAAAATATATATTTTTTTTAATAGGTTAGTTTCCCCACAATGAATGTCCATACATGCCATTAAATTGATCCTGACCCCCATATCCCTTTGAAAGGGGCGTAGGGGCAAATATTGTGATAATTTGAATAAACACCAATTTCAGGCCGAAATGGTAAGGGCCGGGGTGGTTCAGGATTTTGGAGGAAAATATATTTTTATGCCTCCGCTGGAGGCATCATGTTTTCTGGCTGTCCGTCCGTACATCCGTCCCGTTTGACCGTTATCACAATATCTCAAGAACCATTTGAGATTTAAACTTAAGACTCGGGAATAGTATTTATCACCATAGGAAGACGATCTGATTAGATTTTGGAGTACGTAGGTCATAGGTCACAGGTCACAGAGGTCAACTTATGAAATTCCTTGTATTGAGTTTGTTAGCGCGATATCTCAAGAACCACTGGAGATTTAAACTTCAAACTTAGTGATAGTGTGTATCACTATAGGAAAACAATCTGATTACATTTTGGAGCACGTAAGTCAAAGGTCAAGGGTCATAGAGGTCAACTTATGAAGTTCCATACATTGAGATTGTTATCATGATATCTCAAGAACCACTGGAGATGTAAAAACTTCAAACTTAAGGATAGTATGTATCACCATAGGAAGACGATCTGATTAGATTTTGGAGCACGTAGGTCAAAGGTCAAGGGTCACAGAGGTCAACTTATGAAATTCAATACATTGAGATTGTTATCATAATATCTCAAGAACCACTGGAGATTTAAACTTCAAACTTAATGATAGTGTGTATCACCATAGGAAGACAATCTGATTAGATTTTGGAGCACGTAGGTCAAAGGTCAAGGGTCAAAGAGGTCAACTTATGAAATTCCATACATTGAGATCGTTATCGCGATATCTCAAGAACCACTGGAGAATTTTCACTTCAAACTTAATGATAGTATGTATCACCATATCATAATATCTCAAGAACCACTGGAGATTTAAACTTCAAACTTAATGATAGTGTGTATCACCATAGGAAGACAATCTGATTAGATTTTGGAGCACGTAGGTCAAAGGTCAAGGGTCACAGAGGTCAACGTATGAAATTCCATACATTGAGATCGTTATCGCGATATCTCAAGAACCACTGGAGAATTTTCACTTCAAACTTAATGATAGTATGTATCACCATATCATAATATCTCAAGAACCACTGGAGATTTAAACTTCAAACTTAATGATAGTGTGTATCACCATAGGAAGACAATCTGATTAGATTTTGGAGCACGTAGGTCAAAGGTCAAGGGTCACAGAGGTCAACATATGAAATTCCATACATTGAGATTGTTATCATGATATCTCAAGAACCATTGGAGATTTAAACTCCAAACTTGTTTAAATTGCTCTATATGGCGGAGGCATCATTTTCGACTGCGCGCAGTCAAAATTCCATCTAGTTCTTTCTGGTCTCTCACCATATCTCCCTCTATCTCCCTGTTCTCCTGTCTTTCTCCCTCTCTCTCTGTTCCCCCCTCACTGTTTTTTTTTTGGTCTCTCACCATATATCCCTCTATCTCCCTGTATCTCTTCTGTGTGTGTGTCTCTCTCCCTCTCTCTCTCTCTCTCTCTCTCTCTCTCTCACTGTTTCTTTGGGTAGAGATTGTATTTCCTATCAAATGCTATATAAGCCCAGATCATTATTATCAACACCATTACTGTATCTCCTTTCCCCCAGCTGGAAATGACCGCTTCAACGGCATCTGGTCGGCAACATCAGCTATCACCGGAGGAGGTTACGGTCGAGCCAACAGTGATTACAGTGGTAAAACAAATACAGGGTGCACCATAGATGAGAATGAGTTGACTATCGACTGCTCCTCAGCAACAACTGTGTAAGTTCTTCTTTTCTTTTTTTTTGTTATTGTGTACTCAAGGATAACATAAAAGCCAACTGGCTTTTTACAATCATGTACAGGAATGTGAAATAGACAACATGTAGTCAACTACAATTCAAATATAATTCTATTTTAAATGGAGGCTTAACTTGTCATGCCTAGCTGCAAGTACATATTCAGATTTAGACTTCATTTTTATCAAAGATATAAGACCATGAAAATTATGTTTTCTCTTTCTTAAATTTGCAGCAGTATATGTAGAATCTGGTACACAATAGGAAGAAATTCATATACTGAATTTTGATAGTCCTTGGGACAACCAAACATTCTTTCATAATCCAAGAAAATAATTTTTTTTTTTAAGTTTTGAAGAAAGATAATTTTCTAGGATGGACCAAAGTGGCTTTACAACTTCACAATGTGTTCTAAAATGTTCAATTGAGTAACTGTTTAAGTTCTTTCCCCTAAAAATGTTGTTCCGTTCATAGAAAAGCAGAAAGTCGTAATATCTTGAAGGAAAGATAGTACTCCATCTCAGTTAGAAATAGCAAACATTACTTGTGTTAACGCATTTAACTTTTTGTTCTGTCATGATTTTGGGAATGTCAACTAATTGTGCTTATCCAACATGACTTGATTTTTTTTTTTTATTATCGGAGTATACTAGTATGAAATCTATTTTCAAAAACTGGATTTTAATTAGTTTTGATAATGTTCAGAATTCAAATTTGAGGGGGACTTTGATGATTGACAAAACCCTGTTATTTGGTAAACACACGAAAGAACGAACAAACGAACGATGTCAAATTCCCCATGAGAGCCAATTTATATGCGTATTCAACAAACAGGAGTTTAAGAAATTATTGTCCTTATAAGAAGTGTCCTTGAGAAGTGTTAAAATTCATGTATACTTTTATTTTTTTCACAGATTTGTCAAGAATTACAACTTTGAGAATCTGACTTCTTCCACATTTTCTGAGGATGTTACAGAAATGTAAGTAAGGCTAGCGTGCCTGATGAGAAATTGAATCAGAACCCTGTTTTATCAATCTTGTTATCAATAACAAATTCAATAATAATTCTAAACTCTTATCAGAACTTTCCTCTTAGCCAATCAAATGCCCGGATTTCAGTAGCTTATAACAGATATTGTAACATGTTATTGATGATAAGTTTTGTGAAACAGCGCTCTGTCTTTATTTGATATCTACTTTCTATCTGCTCTTTGCTTTCTCTACAGTTTACTTTAAATATTTTTTTTTTGAATTTATTTTAGGCACCCCTGTTTATCCTTTTTCAAATAAATTTACATTTACATCCAATTCAGGGTCCTGTTTCAATTTAACTTGAAATAAAAAAAAGTTACAATAACTTTGATAAGCTATTGAAATTATGACATTTTGATTGACTATAAGCAAATTTGTCATTGAACTGTGGCAGTTAATTGTTATTGATAACAAGTTTGATGAAACGTGGTCCAACATGGGCATCCCTCATGCAAGTTTTAGATAAACTACAGAAATTCTATTAAGAAATTTGGACAAACCTCAAGAGAATGCATTAATTTGTTCTTGTTTCTTGCTCATGCACTGGCTGTGTTTCATTCTAAACTTTTGTAATTAAATGCTATTTGGAAGTTGATGGTGCATTTAATGTTAATGGCAAATTGATTAATGCATGCATATGTGTGTTAATGCAAGGTGATAGATGCATGAACATTAATTGACCCAAACTCCAGGGATCCGTTTCACAAAGCTTTTTTTTAATGACAAATGACAAAAATCAGAGACAAATTTGCTGATAACCAATTAGAAGCAAGGATTTCAGTAGCTTATAACAGAAACTGTCATTTGTCACTGATGACAAGTTTTGTGAAATGGGGCCCTGTCTGATGTTAGACAGTAGAGGGCGCCCTACCTCCCACACTGGGCAGGTCATCAGCATATGCACAGATTCAATACTGGGGAAGACGATAGACAACGTTTCTCCCGGCTTCATTAGAGAATGTACAGCAGTGTCAACTAATCCTTGATTTTAGTTAAAATTATTGTTCAGGTTTCATGAACTCCCCTAATGATTTCAAAAGGCCTCTGTAGCCACCATCATAATCTATCGCTCATATTTTATTTGCTCTGAAACTATCATCTCTATATCACACTTTCCAGTTCACAACCCATTGTATTTGTATGGGACCTTTATAAGTGCCAGAGCCATCTATACACAGAGTCTGGCCAACCCGGTTCGAGTTGGACACAATATGGCAACTACTGCTTTGTTGGGCAAGCACAAAACAAAAGAATTTATATGCCATGTATGTTGTGACCCAGTTAAACCAAGTTGGCCAAACTCTGTGTATACACTGTAGATGGCTCTGATAAATACCTTTGAGATATGATGTAATCAAGTTAAAATATTTAGATTGATGTACTATTATCAGTCTTTTTTTATGTAACAAATTATATCATGTTTTGTGTGGTTTTGAATAAAATGAACCGAACTGAACTGAACTGAGTGCTGTCCTCTAAGACCAAATAGCAAAGTAGTGGCCATAGCATAGAGAGAATTACCAGTGCTTATTTATTATGAAAGTTATGATATCACATTGATTCATTTTTTTATCATCCAGTACTATCCTGGGAGGAACTTTACAGAGAGTTGCTGCTGACACCTTCCACAATCTCACCAAGTTAACATCACTGTAAGTAAAAGAAAACCCCAATAAATACAGTCAAAAATAATAATACAAATAATTCATATACACAATTTGAAAATGATATGGGGAACTACATAAATAAAGCCCTTATAAGCTTAGTTTCCCAATATACAAACAAATAATATGGAAATGATAATCAACAAACAAAAGAAATATATATAACACACCAGAAGGATATTTTCTGAATTATGATAAACATATTTATATATATTTTTTTAAAATAAATTTAATGCTTCCTGGGAGAAAATTCAATAGTTTAAACATATTTGTGGCTTACACCCAGTAAATTAGATTGATTGATCGATCTGTAATTGAAAAACAAGTCAGAAACAAGTTTAAACTATATTTATATATTTATATATGATTATAATATACATATTTTAAAGTACATGTCATTTGTTTGGAGCCAGAAAACCATTAACTGGTATACCTTTATTAAAACACAGATTTTCATACAATTGCCCTTCTTCCTCTGAACAACAGACGGGGTATAAAATTAGTTTTAAATGTGAATGCTAATTAGAGGGAATGAAATTTAAGTACAGAATTAAAGGAAGTAATAATTAATGATAGCGAATATAACTTTAACTACAACAATTACAATGTTAACTTCTATATAAGTCCAAGTTTGAAACTTGACTCGTTTGGAGAGAAAATAGTACACATTATGACCTACAATATTAATGAGATATAATACTTCAAGATGTCATGTCCAGTTGCTAATTTAAAAACATAGTACAGTGAAACCTGTATATAAAGACCGCCCAAGGGAGACAAGAAAAGTGGTCTTTATAGGCAGGTGCTGTCCATGTACAGGCTCCTTAAAGTAAATGTATCAATGAGAAACCATTTTCAAGGGAAATAAAAATGGTGGTCTTTATAGACAGGTGGTCTTTCTATACATGGTGGTTGGTAGAGCAGGTTAGATTATACATCCTTTTTATTATTCTTTGAAGGGTGAGGCTGTTTTCCATAGTGACTTTTTAGGAAAATACCCTTTTGTTTTTTGTTTTTTATTGCGTTTCTTGATATTCATGCTTTCCTTTTTTTTTCCTGTCTTGTTTCAGCACCATACACAATACACCTATCACAACATTTCCTGATGTGTCAATGTGTACCACCTTGGAGAAACTGTAAGTAAAAGTCTTACTTCGAGTCATCGGTCATCATGTCTGGTCGAGGGGTCGCAACATGTCCCTTTAATCATGAAATGTAGGGGGTAATGTGCGTGAAATAAACCCTTCTCTTCTACAAATGGTCTGGTCCAATTTACCTGACACTTTTTGAAAACCTGAAAGGTCGCGTCATATTTCGCTTTAGTTTCACAAAAGGTGGTGTAATGCGACCACCTGACCGGACGCGATGACCAAATGTGATTAAAACTAAGCCAAGTAAAAGGGGACAGAGGGATTTGCGAGCTTTACGTTCTTCTAAGTATCATAGAAGGAATGGCTCTTCACTTGACAGATGCCAAGTAACAACAAGAGGTTGTGGAAAGGAAAATCCAAAGACTGACAAAAGAAAGTATGGAGAGCTAGGGGTGAATACAGAGAAAATTCTGCATTAACGATGTATGATTTTTTGAAAAAAATGATGTGAATATGCTGACCTAGTGACACTGACTTGATTATTTGTATTGTTACATTACAGAGATGTGACAAGGAATAGCATTAACTTTGACGTCTACACCTATTCAACACTGACGTTTCCAGCTTCGCTCAAGCAAGTGTAAGTATACTATAAACCGGAAATTTCGCAACATGAAACTTTCCTGAATTTAGCGGCATGACATGTTCGCGAATTGCTGAAAATTTTGGAACATGAAACTTTTCCTGAGTTCAAGCTGAACGCCTTTTTAGCGGCATGAAACGTTCACAAAGTGCTAACCATGAAATAAATCTATTTATAATATCTATATAACTATATATTGTATATTTTGAAAAACCAACTCTCGTGACAAAAATTCAAACGGTTCATTTTGATATCTCTGAAACAAAAACTCTGAAACTCTTGATATTTTGTATGTGAAAAGGTCCTGCATATTTTTTGGTATATTTTTTCTGTGCAAATTTGAGAAAATACAAAGAATGTTCCTCACCTGTTGGGTGATGTAGATGGAGTAAAAGTGGAAAAAAATGTAAAAGGAAGGTGGTTAATTGCATCTTTCAAGGCTATAAAGCAGTAAAATAAAAAGGGCCAAAGAAATGATTATTGATAGATACATATAATTGATATTCCCAATTTATTGTCATCATTTTCATTTATTGACTTCAGCATTTTCCCTCTTGCAAGCGGTTACTGAATTTTGCACCATGACGACACTCTCTCCCTCCACTTTTTCTTGTTTCTCTATGCATTTCTCTCTTTCTTTCCTTCTTTCTGTTTCATCATCTTTCTTTCCGTTACTCTTCTTTATCTGACCTATCTTACAGGAGTGTGATGGAGAACAACATAGACTGGGTTCCTCCAGGTCTTTTCTCGGGAACAAACATTGAATATCTGTGAGTATAGGCTATCATAATAATAATAATAATAATAGGCATTTCTATAGCGCCGTCTATCTAGAAATTCTATTCCGAGGCGCATTTATTATTACTCCGGCTTTAGCCTAGCTGCCATAGGTACCCATTTACCTCACCTGGGTCGAGAGTGGCAAATGAAGATTGAATCCTTGACAAAGGACATTAGAGCCGTATCAGGGAGCGAACCACGACCTTCGAATTTCAGGTCAAGTGCCTAAACCACTCAACGCTGAAGGGATTTATATTTTAACAAAGTGCCCCACGCTTAGGAAAAATATGATCACAAGGGAAAACATTACTCTCTTGCTGTTCAAAAATTGTGTTTTATACAACACCTATGTGGATCCCTGTCATTTGATTGGAGGATTGTTGGTCACATGATATTCAATAGATGGTATATTGCACGGTCGTGCATTTTTGGTTATATGCGCCGTGCATTTTTGGTTATATGCAGACTGCGTACCTCTCTGCCGTGCGCGCGCGTATCCCTGCATGTATCTGACGCGAAGGCAATCTGAATGTAATCGAGAAGGCTTGAATCCAACTTGAATTTATCTTTAATATAAGGAGTAAAGCATAATTTGTTGATTAACGTTCTATTAGATCTTCTTCGATGTTGTATAAAACAAATATTGAATGTTTTTCATTCGTTCAATGGTGCGAATATTTTCATTCGTTGAAAGATTAACAACAATTCTATTCAACTCGGCTCAAGCCTCGTTGAATAGAATGTTAATCTTTCAACTCATGAAAATATTTGCACTATTGAACTCATAACCATTCATTATTTGTATAATATTACACAACCCCCCAGTCAATATATGTTTTATAAAATAACCTTGATTACACTTTTTTAATGAACCAAACATGCTTTTCGCAGTTGTGTTGCTTAGCCGCAGACTTTCCTTAGCCCTGGTTGAGAAAATGTTTGAGAAATTTTGGTCTTTTTTCCAAAATATCTTGCTATTTAGGAAATAGCGGGCTAATTTGCGCCAAACCAAGCTAGTTTGTGATGAGCGTAACGTTCTGGTGAAGACGCAATTTCGAGCTCGGGATAATATCCCCAGCCTGAAAATAGCGGGTTATTCGGCAAACTTGAGCTGATGAAGACAGGCCTTTTGATAATTATTTATAATCTGTTTGTTTTTCAGGGGGCTGAGTATGAATCAGATCACTTCTTTCCCATCGGACTCTCTCAAGAGTATGTCCAACCTCACGTTCCTGTCTCTAGATGACAATCAAATCACTTCAGTCTCCAAGCGGAACCTTGCGGTCTTCAAAGACAGTCTCATACACCTGTAAGTTTCATTCTGTTTACTTTACTTTACGCTCTCCTGCGTTCTGAAATTTATCTCTTTAGTTCAATGAAAAATATATACAAATATCTGTCAAACTTGTTTATATGCTTTGTATTATGGTTATTGTATAATATTATTGGACATGATTTGCTATGTATGTAATGCGGTTGTAAAAATGTATAACCTTGTATTTGTTATTTGAACGCAGAAATAAAATCAATCGAACTAACAAACAAACTTTACTTTAATAGGACTACGCCTGTTTATCGATTGTAGATGTCTTATTCGGTAGTTATACATCATCCTTGTCATTTCAAAAAAAAAAGTCGGAAGTACAAAAATGTGTGAAAATTTGAAATATCAGCTCATACAGGTTATACAGGCTCATAGACAAGATCATGGTTTTTCAGACAAGTATTTGTCTAGTCTATTCTTAAAACGGTTTACAGAAGTTGCTGAGATAACATATTCAGGAAGACTGTTCCATTAATCCACAGCTCTGTCGCTAAAGAAATGCTTCCTCATATCAAGCCGAGAGTAACGTTTGTCTAGTTTCCTTTTGTGACCTCTTGACCTCCTCTGTGCCAAATAAATGTATCATATACTCATTCTTCATTCTTTTCAGAGAAATTCCTGTGATAGGAAAAATAGAAGTTAAATTCTTCTTTCTCAGACCTCTCATCTTCCTGAAATTCCAACCTCTTTTGTCTCTCCTCTCCCCCTCTCTCTCTCTCCCTCTCTCCCTCTCCCTCTCTCTCTCTCTCTCCCTCATTTCTCGCCATCCCTTTTCACTTCTTCCTTTTCCTATTTTCTCTCAATACACTCCTGGGCCCCATCTTACAAAGAGTTGATATCAATCACAACTATGTACATAAGAGATAGGAGACTGCTAACTTGCGATTGATTTGGATCAATTGCACCTCTTTGTAGGACGGGGCCCTGATATTTGCTCATGAGGCATACAAAAATGTACCACATTTGTTCTTTGAATTGGCAACAATGTTTTTGTTTTCTATATTTACTGCTAGACCATTTCTATGAAAAGTCATACATGTAAAATGTAGGTGCCTTCATGTACATATAATGTTATAATATGGCAAAACCCTGAGGTTACTTTTTAATAAGATCTTATACTAATTCTTCTAAGAAAGTGTTCTTTTTGCCAAGTAATGTGGTATTAAGCATTCATTGTAGAGGTGTCGTGGTTGAGTGGATACATCACCGGACTGTGGATCACAAGGTCCGCGGTTCAAGTCCTGCCACGGCACTAATGTCCTTTGGCAAGACATTGATCTACATTTGCCATTCTCACCAGGTGAGGTAAATGGGTATCCGGTAGGATTATTCCTTGAAATGCACTGTGCGCTGATATCGCAGCCAGGCTACAGCTAGGGTAATAATTTTCAAAGCTCTTTGGAGGCGCATAGAGATGTTATTTCATAACATATTATGTGCTATACAAGAACGGAATATTATTATTATTATTATTATTGCTGAAATAAACTGTGATTCCTGTAATTTGATTTCATCATTGTTTTCTTGACATAGGAACCTGAGTAACAATGCAATCACCTATCTGGCTCCAAGGGCACTTACTCAGCTCACGCAGCTCAAGATCATGTAAGTCTTCCTCGAGACCTCGTTCACGGCCCTGTTTCATAAAGCTTGTTGTGTATAACAAGTTACAATAACCGTTATAAGCTACTGAAATAGCAGCATCTGATTGGCTGAGAGCAGATTTGTCATGGAAATTGAGTATTTCTTAGTGATAACAGGTTTTGTGAAACAGGGCCGCCCTGATATGACAGGACAAAACTGCGGTAGTTTAGATGTTTTTATTATTATTATTATTGTTATTATTACTTATACCGCGCTTTTCCCGTATGGCCCAAAGTGCTTAAAGTAAATAACAACTACATACATTTGTAAATACATGTAATAAGAAAAACAATACAACTACAAACTGCCAAAAAAGTAATCAGCTTGTAAAAGTCATGGGATTCTTAACTGAACCAAAGGTTTGTAATAATGATTGCAGCATGACCTTAAATCAGGATTTTGTTTAGAATCTGAGGCAAAATCCCTTTAAAGACCGTCAATACTACTGGGCCAAAAGGGATTAGACCACACAGCGAGGTCACTGACAGGTGGCTATTTCATTAACTCGGCTCTCAACTAACATAAGACGAAGAGGATCATGGGGGACCAACAGACACCGATTGGGAAGTTTTCTATATAGAGGGAGCAAGTAGCTACAAGTATAGGACAGTGGGGCTTTAAATACATTTTTTTTATGTTGTCTTTCTAGAGAGCTTCATCAGAACTCCCTGTCTTCCATCCAGCCGAAGATGTTTGATGATATGACGTACCTACTTCATATGTAAGTAATGCTGTAGTATTATTATCACACTTTTTGTGCCATCATTCATAAAAAACATTACGATTTTGCTGTGCATATTCGAACGAGGCATTATATTTATTCTTTACTTGCATCCATGCATTATACTCTAATCTATGCACATATTGTTTTGATGATGCTGCTCCTCGTCTTGACACTAGTCCAAGCCACTAGTGGTGATCTCTACGTCATCCTTTTCTTTAAGGGAGGGGAGTGTGAATCTTTCTCCCTCCTTCAAACAAAAGGATGACACAAAATCACTGCCACTGCCGGGGAATACTTTCGCATTGCGCGGCAATACAGATTGCCATATTTCTAGTTTATTCTTTGGGTCAGCGTGATAATAAAGAATCATTACGGTTTTGCTGTGCTATATCCGAACGAGACTTAATATTTATTCTTTCTTTGCATCCATCGTATTCTCAGTGATTTGAACAACAATGAGCTCGCATCCCTGGGAAGTAACTCATTCACCAACTTGCTATCCTTAAGAACACTGTAAGTATATTCACAATTTTTCATATTTTCATATTTTTAGGAAATATTTCAGATTATTTTTCTTTTTAGTTCCTTTACTACAATTGTGCCTTGAACTAAGCCTTTATCTGGGCCCTGTCTTTAAAAAAAACATTTGCGATTAATCGCAACTTGTTTGTGATTGATATCTCAGATAGGGGACAGCAAACTTGCGATTGATTGGCGGACTTGGGACTGATTCGGATCAACTGCTACTCTTAAAGGGATTGGGTATCTTTGCCTCAGATTCTTAAAAAATCCTGGCTTTAGCTCATGCTGCAATCATACTCATAAACCTTTAGGTCAGTCAGGAATCCCATGTCTTTTTCAAGCCGATCACCTGTCTGATTAACAAGATATTTATGATTGGGGAAACGAGTATTTTAAAACCAGTCACTCAAAGATTTTTACTTTTTGGAGGCACTTCATGATCATTTTGAAGCGCAATTTGTTTAGGGCTTCAATATTACACCATATCACAGACGCTGATAACATTTAGGGCCATGCATCTCAACTAGAAACATTGTTAAACAATGCTTTAATAAGACAGGGTCCTAATTTGAAATGATTGATTGTGCTTTTCCATTGACTTCAGCCTGGGTGATCTCTAGATTACTATTCAACACGTTTATTTCTTTTAACTTATATCGACTTAGATGTGAAAGTATTCTTTATTGTTTTATTCAGTTTCTTGGAATATTGATTGGAACCAGAAGAAGATAAACAGGAAATCACCATAGACAGATTTTGGGTTGTAAAATCAAGGTTACTTTTGGCTTAAAACATGATTTAATTCTTGGTTTATGTATGTTCTTTCTTTCTTTCTCTCTTCATTCATTTATTATTCATTCCTTTGTCCATTCATCCAATCATTCCGTATTCATTCATTCTGCATTCATTCGTTTATTCATTCATTCTGCATTCATTCGTTTATTCATTCATTCTCCGTTCATTTATCCATTCCATCGTTGTGTGTTCATTTATCCATTCTTTAATTCATTCATTCATTCATTCATTCTTTAATCCCTACATTCAATCATTCACCCTTTCATTCAATCATTCCTTCATTTATTTATTCATTCATTCTTTAATCCCTACATTCAATCATTCACCCTTTCATTCAATCATTCCTTCCTTCATTTATTTATTCATTCATTCTTTAATCCCTTCATTCAATCATTCACCCTTTCATTCAATCATTCCTTCCTTCATTCATGTATTCATTCATTCTTAAATCCCTTCATTCAATCATTCACCCTTTCATTCAATCATTCCTTTCTTCATTCATTTATTCATTCATTCTTTAATCCCTTCATTCAATCATTCACCCTTTCATTCAATCATTCCTTCCTTCCTTCCATTCATTCATCCATTCATTCAATCACTTATACAAATGCATTATTTGTTCATTGATTCATTTATCCATCATTCACTATATTAATTAATTAATTAATTCACTCATTCATTTCTTAATTTACTCATTCATCAATTATTTTGTATTTTGTATATTCCCCAGACGTGTTCATTCTCAGAAGTCCGGCTTTGAGATGACCACCATCGCCCACGATGCATTTCAAGGGATCAACGGCAACCTGACAACACTGTAAGTACTTCCTGACAATATCATCATCTTCTTCTTCTTCTACTTTATTGCTCCGTCTTATTTCATTTATTTTCAATTATCTATTTCCACGTCAAGAAACAATCTTAAAACTGTGACGATATCTTGTTTATGAGACTTACAAGTTATAAGACTGTACCGCCTATTCAGATAGAGGGCGACATGACACTGAATAGACTTATTCATGTCAGACATCTGTGTGCACAGTGAGTTATTTTAGTCTTTGATTAAAGTGACAAACACATAACAAATACAAACATATATCATGAGATATCTGCGGTGGGAGGACCATGAAAAGCACATAAATTGCTTGTTAAAATGATCCTCACCAAATAAACAAAATACGGTACGGTAGAAAAAACTGAACAATCCATAGTTTACAGAAAATCAAGATTACGTAAAAAGAGGGGGAAGATAAAGAAAATAGCGAAAAAAAATGTGGAAACATTACACATTTATTATCTGTATAGAATGCTTGTGAATGATGTATTATTTTATTTATTTCATTTCATTTCCAGGAACATAAGGAGTATAGCAATAACAAAGGTTAAAAGAAAATTAAGCATAATGATAAATACAATAACAGAAACAAAAAACATCAACTAATGCCTGAGGATTACCTAAAGAAACAGAGATTCTGTAGGAGGCTCTCCTCATTAGTTAATGGTATAATACATAATAATACACAAATATACATAAGTATATCAATATACTCATTAATCTCATTGCTTTGATATATATAGGTTCATCAGTGACAACCGCCTAGCCAACTTTCCGCATGCTGCCCTCTCTAGGGAGGTGTATGAAAGTCTCCTGTATCTGTGAGTACTTCCGAAGAATATGACCTATTGGATTTTGTATGTATACTTCAGTATGTAAATGTTTAGACACATAATAAGCCAGTTCACGGTTGCAGTCTGAGCATGAGCAGATAAAGGCTGTTGCAGAAGAAATTTTGAAATACACGGAGACGTAATACTGGATGCGTGCTCATGAAAGTTATGTGATCATTATTCATTCATGCACATTCAGTGCACTCCATAATACACAGGTGGAAGTATTCTTTGAAAAGGGGAAACAAAGGCTATCTATATATCGCTGTAGGAGTGATTATTTCAAAATGTACAAAGTGGGACGTCTTCATGTTTTGAAGATCTGTGGATATTCGGGGTCATTGCAGTGATGTGCTAACCGTGAACTGGTCTATTAAAGAGTTAAAACCTAAACGTGTTATATATCACATTTATTGCAGATTGTTTTATATGTATGGTAACAACCGCCAGAAATTGGAATGATGAATCAAGTTCATGTGGAATATTGGTTCATTACTTTTCCCCCCCACAAATCAATAATTTAAGATATTGAATTTATTATGTTATTACAACAGCCTATAGGTATCAGCTATCGAAATGCAATAATATTACATAATTTGAACATGATTATGCAAGTGATATTGCCCTTACAATGGTTTCTTGGATGTCAATCACAAATTCTATTGTTTTAATATGCCCTTCTTTCACAGTGAACCCTAATCCCTCTAGATTAAATGGAGTAATCCGTATCCACCATTCATATAAATTTCCTGATACATGTCCTGGACCATTCCATTCACCTTTAAAGGGGGGAATTTTTTTCTTTAACGGCATGCTGATAATATCCTCTTCATGAACACCTTGTTGTATTCTGATGATCCCTTACCCCTCTGCGTTAAATGGAATAATCCATATCCATCATTCATGTATATTTCATGATACATGTCCTAGACCATTCCATTCACCTGTATAGGGGTAATTTCTCTCTTTTCAGACATGCTGATAGTAACTCCATCACTAACATAAACTTGTATTCTGATGAAACCTCACCCCTCTTGGTTAAATGGAGTAATCCGTATTCATCATTCATATATTGTCCTAGACCATTCCATTTATCTGTATAGGGGGGAATTTCTTTCTTTTCAGGCATGCTGATAGTAACTCCATCACGAACATAACCTTGTATTCCGATGATGCGTATGACGGCGGAACGTATGAGATTTACCTGAGACTGAAAGATTCCCACATCCCTTTCGAAACCCTGCCTTATGTTGATGAACTGTAAGTATGCTCTTTAATCTATTTCTACATGTAAGTAAATTACTGTCGTTGTAAACGTTAAATTTTGATTATTCTATTTTTCGAAAGCAGAATTGTTTTAGGGGCTAACTTTTCTCGTGCTTATAATACATCCGCAGGGGCATCAAAAATATATCAAAATTGTAAAGAATTACTATCCATCAAATTTTTAAATGTTCCCAAAACTTTGCATTACCTCTATATACCAGAGAAATATCTTTATCTCCTCATGGTACAATCTTGGCTCGTTTTAGAGCCCCACTGTCCTACTTGTAGCTCCTTCTATATAGAAAACTTCCCCAATCGGTGCCTGTTGGTCCCCCATGATCCTCTATTTCTTATGTAAGTTGAGAGCTGAGTTGATGAGATAGCCACCTCTCAGTGACCTGGCTGGGTCGTCTAATCCTTTCTGGCCCAGTAGTATTGACAGCCTTTAAAGTCTACTGTGCAAAACTGAGAGAGAGAGTTCAGTTGATCAAGTCATAAAACGGAAGGCTAATCCTGATAACTAAAAACACCTGTTAATATTAGTAAACACCCGAATGGTGTTGAATTCCCCCATGAGCACCCACTAGAAGGCCTGCGATTGACTTGGATCAATTTCATCTCTTTGCAAGACTGGGCCTAGGACTTATTTTATTCTCCCCTCTGTTTCTGTGCAGTAAAAAAATATATAAAAATATATATGATAAAATGATACCTGTCTATAAAGGCCACCAAAGGAGAGACAAGAAAAGTGGTCTTTATAGGCAGGTCGTCTTTAAATACAGGTTACTTTAGTACATATGTTTCAATAAGAATCCATTTTCTATACAGGTGGTCACTAAAGCAGGTTTGACTGTAATATGAGATAACCCTCTTCTTTCCTTTTCTATTGTCCATAACAGGTACCTTAGCAGTAATGCCATCATTGGATTGAATGAAGGGGACTTATGCGGGATGCAATATATCACCCTTCTAGAACTAAAGTCCAACAGCATGGATGAGACTACATTGGACCCACACACGTTTGATTGCCTCGAACAACTTCAAACTTTGTAAGTACAAGACACCCCTTTAATGGAATGGAATAGTCCTCTAACATGTACTGTCCAATGCACATGGCAACTGGAAATGATTATTCCATTCATTTTTATAGGGGATACCTGAAACTGTTTTGATACAGCATTCATTTATCTTGATTTTTTTTTTTTTTTTTTTTTTTTTAAATATTTTTTATCTTTCTTTTGTTGTGTAGTCTGCATTGAGCATAAACTTAACCATAATGATCAATTTATATACCAGCAAAATTGTATTAAAAGTGGTACAAAGTTTAAAGGGAGATTGACAAATATGTCAAAATACATTTTATGGTACCATTTTCTCTATGAATTCAAGTTTAAGAACACCATACAAACAGACTTTCTTTGAAAAGCTGTTAGGTACTACAGGGTTTTTACAATGATAGGGTAATATTAATGTACTAACTCTTTTTACAAGCCTGTGTATAGTAAGCAAATAATTACTGTTGGTGAAGGTGATGGGACAAACTATCACTTCCGAGGAGATCTGGATGTAGCTATCTTTCCAAAACAAAGCTGAGGAAAGATAGCGTATACATTCAGGTCACAAGGGAAGTGATAGTTTGCCATCGCCTGAAACCAAAAGGGGATTATTTGCTATATATTCCACATCGGAAAGATTTCACTTCTTCTGTCATTTTAGAGCAACAAATCATCAATTAACAGCTTACGTACAGCGCATGCAGTACTTACATACGTACGTATACGCAACGTATACAAGAAAGTGTGTTGCACTGTGTAGATAATACTACTATCTCACGGTGCGACAAACTTTTCTTCTCCCATCAATGATGAGCGAACTATCTTTCATCACATGATTTACTTTTGACCAATCGTAACGTAAGATTCTTTGTATGGTGAAGATAATAAGTAATATCAATATCTAATATATTTGTTATCATTTATTTGACAGGAATCTTGATTCAAATAACTTCAACTATGTTCCCGAGGCTGTGCAGTACCAGGAGAGACTCATGTCTATATCCTCTCTGTAAGTATGACATTATAGCCCCTCTGCACCAGTTTGGCTGGGAGGGATTAGACCTCCCTGCAAGGTCACTGACATGTGGTTATCTCATCAAATAGGCTCTCAATTAACATAAGAAAAAGGGGACCATAGGGGACCCATGCTCACCGATTAGGCATTGTTTGCTATATAGAGGGTGCAAGTAGCTATGAGTAGTGCAGTGGGGCTGTAAAAGCTTTTATAAAATGGGTTCAAGAATTTAGCAAATGAGAAGCGTTGAAAGGAATTATGTGTGCGTGCATTAATGTTTTACCATATGCACGGGGAGATCATTTTGGTGATAACAACCATCAATTTCTTGACTCTATACTCATATTGTAGACCCCTCTTATTAAACAGATAACACATGTTTTAGCTCGTACATTAATAGTATGCACTGGCAAACGTGTATTATTTGTATAATATATTAACCAACATTTTTAGTCCTTTAACTTTATGTCTGCTTTTGTCGACAAATGGTACAAATGGTGGGCAGCCTCAGCCAACATTTGTCACAAGTACAATGTATATCTAACACATACTACAAAATGATGAGGCTCACTGGGATCGTAATATGTAGTGGATATGTGTCATGGTCTAGTGGATATGTCACCAGACTGTGGATCACATGGTTAATAGTGTAGCATAACTAGCCCAGAATTTAGTAAGACATAGAGGGCATTATAGATAATTGTGAAATATTAACATGTACATCGTGCAGATGTCAGTCAGTCAGCGTTGAGCTGTTGTTGGGACAGGTTCTGTATAGTTGTGATCTGTGAGTCGATCAGCGTCGAGCTGTCGTTGCGACAGGTTCGTCACAAGGAACGAGTAAAGTTACTTGAACTGCAGATACTGTGCAAGTGTTGTTTCTTTAGCCCTGTCCGACATTCAGTGATTGCGGGAGTGAGTAAAATGAGAGCTAGTCCACGTTATTCCTACACGATATACTTTTGTGAGAGCCCACTGAGAGATATAGCTGATGAATGATTGCCGAGAGCGTGGACCGGGTTTTGAGAGACTGCAAGGCAGAACGCTACCCCGGCAGAGCCCGGTTACGCCACAATAGTTAGAGTCTTGCCATGTCACAAATGTCCTTTGACAAGGCATCAATCTACATTTACCACACTCGACCCAGGTGAGGTAAATGGTTTACCTGGCAGAAATTAATTCCTTCAAATGCTTGAGTGCTGTTATGACAGCCAAGCTAAAGCCGAGGTAATAATTGTGGAGTACCAGGAATGGGCCTGACATGATGCATAAAAAAAAAAGTACTGATATTGCCTTTTAGAAGCCCCCCAAAACAGCAACCGTCGCCCCCAAAACTGAAAACCGGAAACGTTGCCCAAATCTTGCTGGTTTCTAGCTGGTGCAGTGCATGGTATATACACGTATACGCTAGCAGGATTTCAAAACTATGGCAGAAGACGAGTGAGAATGTGGGAATAACTTCATGATTTTATGCATTTATATCCCATTTAACATAACAACATACATAATTTTGTTATTCATTAAACATTAAAAAAAAAAAAAACAGTTACATTTTTTTTAAATTAAAAAGCCGACCAAAGATTTTAAGATTTTGGGGCTGGTCGCAAAGGGCAATACAACATGTTTTATTTTGTTTGCCCCTGAGTGCTATACAAGACTCTACTATCATTACTAATGTTAATATTATTATTATCAATTCAGTTTGTTCTCTCTCTCTTTCCCACTCTCTCTTTCTTTAGGTATCTCTCCAGCAATCAGATCACATTTCTCTTAGACGGTGTTTTCTTCAACCTGACCACGCTCAGCACATTGACTTTGAACTCTAATAGCATTATCTCTATAGAGAATGGTGCTTTTCCAGATAACATACAATCCTTGTAAGTATATGTCAGATAATAAGTATATTGTAGAGGTGTTGTGGTCGAGTGATATATGTCACCAGGGGGGTGTTTCATAAAGCTGTTCGTAAAGTTACGCATGACTTTACGAACGACCTGTATATGAAGTGCCAGATAGGATGCCCAAAGTTTTTTCTGATATTTCCAATAACCTCAATTAAATTATGACCAAAATTGCATTAAAAATGTTTGTATAATAAGAATGTTAATCTACATCTGCACAGTTCAACTTTAGTTGATGCAGTTAATAAAGATTGAGCATCCCATTTGGCTTTTCACATACAAGTCGTTCGTAAAGTCATGCGTAACTTCAAACAGCTTTATGAAACACCCCCCCCCCCCAGACTGTGGATCACAAGGTCAGTGGTTCAAGTCCTGCCGCGGCACTAAGGTCCTTTGGCAAGACATTGATCTACATTTGCCACTCTCCACCCAGGTGTTGAATGGGTACCCGGTAGGATCAAAAAGTTAATGTGGTTTGATTAGCAAGTGGCACTTGTAAAATGGCGACTGGCCTTAATGCTTCCCAGGGAGTGGAGAATGTGCATACATTGTGTGCGGGTAAGCCTGAATCAGATGACCGGGGGTAATAATATATACTGCACCTAGAACCAAAGTATTAGGCGCATTATAAATGTGAGCTATTATGATTAATTATGATGTCACCAGCACATTGATTTTGGATTCTAATAGCATAATCTCTATAGAGAATGGTGCTTTCCCAGATAACATACCATGTTGGGAGCCCAAAATTCCCCCAAAATTTGATGGAAAAATTTCACTTAGATTGTATCATAATGTGAAAGATGATGTCATTTAAGACTCACTTCTGCAAAGATTTCCCTCCCAAAATGAGTTTAAAGACAAATATTGATAAAAGAATGCATACTTTACGTTTTCTGTTGTGTACGCATAAAACCTCAGACTAAAACACATTTGTTTTGAAAATCTTTCGGGGCTACCAACACTTTAGAGGGGCTTTAAATCTATGTCAAACTATGTGAGCTAATGCCATTGTGACTCAAAACAGCCAGACTGATTGAATAACAAATCTTGTATCGATCTTTTTTGTTATTGCAGATCTATGAGTAGCAATGAATTTCATTTCCTACATGAGAACATGTTTACCAACCATTCCCAGCTTGGTACCCTTTCTCTGGCTTCAAACAACATTGATAAGATACCGGAGACAGCCTTTGATGGGTGCACCAGTCTCACAAGTCTGTAAGTCACCTTTTATGCTATGGATCATCAACTATGAAGGTGTCAAAGAGGGTGTTTCACAAAGACTAAGATCGACTTCAAGTGGACTTAACTATGACAGGCCAATCATGCCACTAGTTCCTCTAACCATTCCTGGCATTGGTTTCTCAAGGGACGTACAAATCCTTCCACAAATCTACAGAATTTACATTTTTGGATAGTTCATTATTGAAAGAAAAAAATATTATCTAAAGATCATAATTGAGAGACCGATATTGAGAGCCACCAGTGGCATGAATGGCCTGTCATAGTTAACCCCAACTTAAAGTCAATCTTAGTCTTTGTGAAACACTCCCCTGGTATAATAGTTTATTCACTTGACTCTCCACCTAGGTGTAAATGGGCACATGGCAATTGCTGGGGTAATAATAATTGTAGGGCTCCCCTGGGTAAAAACAATTAATATTTTTATTGGTTCCCTTTTGTTAAATTATGTCTTTTTCTTTGAGTGGGCACCATTTATCCTACACGAGGTTGAGGGAGGTTTAAAGTAAACCAATCACCTGGAGAAAAAAATTCAGGTTGGTAGAAGCTTAAAATACATGTTATAATTACCCAAACTAATACAAGATTTCTGTATCAAATTTTGAATCCTTTTATTGGCCAGGGATCTGAGTAATAACAAGATCGGTCGTCTCCTGGTCACCCACTTCGAAGACTGCCCTCTGTCTTCCCAAATCAATCTCCAAAACAACGAGATAGCGTACATCGAAGATGGAACGTTCGCGCACGTGACAAGCACGGGTTATTTCTATCTCCAGAACAACGAGCTCACCGATTTACCGATGGGTGGGACCTTTGTGAACAAGACGATGAGCTACCTGTAAGTTTAAAATCAAATCAAATATCAGTTCCATTTTCAGTTTATTTTATTTAATTTTACTTAGAAATCTGGTTGGATGCCGATGTTAATGTGGTTGGATTGTAAACTGGCTGGAATCATCTCTATGGAGGTGTTATAGTTGAGTGGTTTAAGCACTTGACTTGAAATGTAAAGGTCTTGGGTTCAATCCCTGACACAGCACTAATGTCCTTTGGCAAGGCATTAATATACATTTGCCCCTCAATACCCAGGAGAGAAATGGGGACCTGGTATATAGGAAGACAAAAGCCTGTGTATTAGTAATTGCCATATGCCCTCACCATGACCATATGGTAGGAATTCTCCCCAGGGAGTGGAGATGACGTACACTGTGCGTGACTGGATCCAATGACCGGGGTAATGATATCTGTAAAGCGCATAGAGACGGTATTTTGTATTAAGCGCTATATAAATCCAGATTTATTCTTGATATTATTATGGAGCTGTGTGTGTGCTCTATTGCATGTGTGCCGATCAGAAATGGAATAAAATGAATGGCAATTATAATTTCAAAATAAAGTGCTTAGAAATGTAGTTCGAAATGCTATACATGTACAAATTTAATGACTAATGTCGAATCATCACTTCATGGAATAGGAATCTTAAATCTTGATGGTGGATACATATTTGAAAAAAGGTGAATAAACATTTAAAACATCATTATATACATCTGTGTCATTGTAATTGGATGACAACAAATAAAGAGAATACAGAAAGTATTTCACTTGTCATACAGACTCGTGAATTTTTTGTTTTCCAGCTCAGCACCATTCAATGCTATATAATAAAGTGTAATGTCTGCTTATGTTTAATGATACATTTTTATCTTTTTTAACATGTTATTGTGGCAACATTAGAAGTAAACATAATTGATTTGGCTGCTTTTCTTGTAAAAAGTTGTTTTGTACAAACATGTTTTGATTTCATTAATATACCGTTATTGAATCAAATTGAAAAAAGTATTGAATTATATTCATATTGCTATATTATTTTCTTACATGCAGCTATTTAAACGATAACCGAATCACAAGAGTGAAAACTAGAACATTCTGGAATTTGGCGACATCATATTTGTGAGTACACTCTAGAAAGTTTTGAAAAAAGTATTAATGTAAGCATAATTCTTGCTACCGCAACTACAGTGTATGGCCAAAGTACTCTGATTCCCATACAACTACAATGGGTCGAGAACTGGAAAGTCTGATAGAAATCATAGTTTTGGAAGTAATGAATTATAAGTAACAGATTATGATGGTACCTACCTAGAATCATAGATCTCATCAAATCATCATGGGAGTTCATGGAACCTGAATATTCATTTAGTAAAATAAGGAATTAGTTGACACTGCTGTACATTCAATATGGGAGCCAGAAGATCATCTCATCATCTTCCCCAGTATCGTATCTGCGTAAGTGCTGACCTGCGCAGTGTGGGAGGAAGGTCGCCATCTACTGTTGAACATCGCATTTGCGGTAGGGTCAATAAAGAAAATATGTATATATATATATATATATATATAGTCACATTGGAATATGTCTCCTATAAACTGTTCATAAATAATTGTATTTAGTGCGTTTTTCTACTAGTATAACTTTAATGAAATACACTGAATGTACAATTATGTCATTATTATAATGAGTCAAGAATTATTCATTGATTTTTTTTTTTGTGTGAGATTGGAATGGCCCACTTCGTTGCTCATGTACCGTATATATTTATAAATATTGTTTATATGCTTTGCATTTACGGAATAAAATTGTAATTGAATTCATGATATGTTGCAAATGATACCTTTGAATTACAAACTACATTTCGACAACTTTTCATTCCAGCTATCTTAATGATAATGACATCAATACGATAGAAACAAGAGCCTTCGAAGGAGTGAGCAGCAGGTATGTAATAGATGTACATTTACTGTACACAATGGCCTAGCAACATGGAGTGTGTGTGTGTGGGGGGGGGGGGGAAGGGTGTCACATGCTCCCAATCGAGTGTTGATTAATATCAAAAAGAGAGAAAGGGAATGGGAGAGAGAGGGAAACAATGATAAAATAGATTGTTAACAAGAAAGAAAGAAAAATGCAAGAAAAGAGAGAGGGAGCTAGGAAAGGGAGTAGAAGAAAAGGATGTCGTAGCCACATTGGGCATGTGGGAAATCACTATCACTATAATAAATCATGCTTTTCATTTTGTTATGCCTTCGGGGGTGTTTCAAAAAGACTAAGATCAACTTTAAAAGTTAGATTTAACTATGGCAGGCCATTCATAAGAGAGGAAATTTTCCACCTGATCATTCCCCTGCCTTTCTTAAGTAGTTAGACTCACCACGTATGTCCTATCGATAGGACATACATGGTGAGGATATATACATGAATCATGACAACATTTGGAAATATTGAATTTTGAACAAGTATAAGTTTAAGAGAAGACTTGAATGAGTTTACAATTATTATTAGGCCTATCACTATAAATCATGCTTTTCATTTTGTTATGCCTTCGGGGGGTGTTTCAAAAAGACTGAGATCAACTTCAAAAGTTAGATTTAACTATGGCAGGCCATTCATACCACTCGTTGCTCTCACCATTATGATCTTTAGATAATATTTTTTCCTTAAATATTGAATTATCAACAAATGTAAATTCTGTAAATTTGTGACCATGATTTGTACGTCCCTTGAGATACCAATGCCAGTAAATGGTGAGAGCAGATAGTGGCATGAATGGCCTGCCATAGTTAAGTCCTATTTAAAGTTAATCTTAGTCTTTGTGAAGCAATTAAATGTTGGGTCCCCTTGACAAAATAAAAAAAAGAGCATGCCTCAAAGTACTTCTCCTTTATTATTCATATGACCTTTGACCGTTTCTTCTGTCTTCCGAAGCTCTTTAACCATTGCTGACAATCCACTGAAGCACCTCGAAGCACAATCTTTCATGGACACTTCGGCTACTGACCTGTGAGTATCATCAGTTTCTTAGAACATACTATCGGTAATGGAAAATGAAAACAATCCTGAAAATTCTCAAACCACTAAGATATTTATGGTTTAGGCTATTCCCTGCCCCCGCCCCCCCCCCCCCCCCCACTCAGTGTTATTTAGGGTACGCTGATGCATGTTCCCTCCTTTTGAAAACACCCCCTAAGTACGGTGTGTAAATTCTTTTTTGTGCACTACGAGCCGGACTTTGGTGCGTGAAAAGTACCCCTTTACCAGACATTTTGGTAACACGCACGGTATCCCTCCGATCACGGAGTGGGGTGGCTGGGAGGCTATTAATTAACAAAAGTGTGTTGAGTTTTATTTTCCTTGAAGAATAAATTGCAACTGAAGGATGTTTCTCTGATTAGTGTGCACCGTTATTGTATGTACATGTATATTATAATCACTTTTCAATATGTTGTTACCCTCTTTGTAAAATGAGATATTGTGGAAACCAACAAAACTATCTATAAATCCATTTGACGTTTTGTGTGTAGATTTTGAGCAAAAGTTGTTTTGAGGTTCTTTTGTTCCTTTTACATCCGTTTACATCAAGAACATCAAGAAAAACATAACTGCCTACCATTCCGTTTTGAAGGAACAACTCCTACTTTTTAGATCCCTTTCTTTTGAAACTATTGTGTAAAAAGTATACAAAATGACTGTATTCCTCATTTTGCCCCGAGGGATTCCCAATTTTTTGCCTTGAAAGGTTGGCAGGTATGGAGGAATATCATGGTAGAAATGCCTCCTGAAAAGGATTGCTCGTCGAATACTCTCATATTCACAATATGACGAGAAATACCTGTAAAATTCCTAACCTATTGATCACCTTTGAACTTTACTACAGGTATCTAAACAGTATGCAGCTTACATCACTCCCAACGCATGTCTTCTATGGCCTGAGTGTTTCCCGCTGGTTGTGAGTATGAACAGGGTCATTTGTTCTTCTATTGATAATCTTTAAAGGCATCAATTAACAATGTTAAATCTGAGATGCATGGCCCTACGTGTTATCAGTGTCTGTGATATGGTGTAATATTGAAGCCCTAAAAAAATTGTGGTTCAAAATGATCAAGAAGTGCCTCAAAGAAGTAAAAATCTTTGATTGACCGGTTTTACCATACTCATTTTCCCCAATAGACTGTATAGTGTACAGTTAAAAAGACTGTTAGGAAAACGAAAAATGAAAAATTTGATTTCCAATCATAAATATCTTGATAATCAGACAGGCGATCGGATTGTAAAAGTCATGGGATTCCTGACCGACCTTTAGGTTTATATTTATGATTGCAGCCTGAGCTAAATCCAGGATTTTGTTTCAGAATCTGAGGCAATATTTCTGAGTCACTTTAAGGTGCATGGGGAATTAATTACTCTACAACACATGGGGCCTCCAATTAATGTTCTAGTCTGAGGAACAGGGTGTTTCCCCTTAAGAGAGGGAGAGACGGAGAGACGGAAAAAGTAAGAATTTGACTTGATCACCCATTATTTGCTTGAAATTGTGCTTTTGTTTTTCTTCTATCATTTTTTCCAATTCCAGTTACTTGAATGACAATCAGATCAGTTTCATCGGTGATGAAGCATTCTACGATGTCACTGGCTCCTATGATCTGTGAGTATAGTCAAACCTGCTTTAGTGACCACCTGTGTAGAAAGACCACGACCTGTCTACAAAGACCACATTTTTTGTTTCCCTTGAAAATGGTTTCCCATTGAAACATGTAGTAAAGAATCCTGTTCATGAAGACCACCTGCCTATAAAGGCCACTTTTCTTGTCTCCCTTGGGTGGTCTTTATAAACAGGTTTCACTGTAGTTGTTAGAAGATGTGGCGTCAATGATAGCTTCAGACATTCAAGTCAATTCAATTTGTCTTTATTTCCAATTACTGGATAAAAAGTATACAAAATGGACAAACGTGTAAGTAAAACGTACACAAAATTGATGGATGCAAAATATATACAAAAAGAAATGCATATAAGAATATGAAAGTTAAACAAACAAACCCAAAAGTTACAAGATCAGAATAAAATTGGAAAAAGGCCGGCTTTTAAAAGCTAAGGTCTCGACTTGTATAAGCATGGATACTGTATAGCACGATATTCTATGGTATACATTGTATATTTTCTACTTAGAATAAGGAAAACAAAAATTAAAGTAGTAGTAGTGGTGGTGGTTATTTTTCCTGACTGCTAAGAAGGCATAAATGCTTGTCAGTAAGCAACCTGAAGAACGACAGCTTTAGGTCCTCTCTGTGAGACCTGGCAATGAGGATTAATACCTTACCAAAGAGCATCGGATTATGAGACCACTGCTCTACCAACTGAGCTATCACGCCTCCTCAAAGAGATAATAGAATTAATTACGGGCAAATGTTGCCTTTAGGTCTGCTTCCTAATCATACCTTGTATGTATATATTGTCTTTAAATTGAATATTCATAATTTCTCCTAATTGCTCTTCAGGTATCTTCAAGATAATGTGATTGATACTATAGAAGGGAAGATGTTTGGAGGAACAAGTACGGCAGATAAGATGTAAGTACGAAAATAATAATGATAATAATAACAGGGGCGGATCTAGCTTTTTGCTAAGGGGGGGGTTGACCAAAATAATGACGATGCGGAGCATCGTCCACGAGCCGCGAAGCGGCGAGCCGATTTTTTTTTGGGGTGTTTATTTGAACCCCGTAAGTGATGTTTTCCTGGCATCTATTAACACAATGGAGACCATAAAAAGCAGTGCATGATAACGTCTTTTTAAATCAAGTAACAGTTTAATACATAGTTATATCCAGAGTTATCATGTGTTTGGTTAAGTTACCAGATGAGTTGAATATCTTCTCACAATATTTGCACTTGAAAGGGTTTCTCTCCAGCGTGCGTTCTTTTTTCTTTCTTTTTTTCTTTCTTTTTTTCTTTTTTTTCCATTTTTTTTTTTTTTTTTTTTTTTTTGGGGCCGCCCAAGGGGGGGGTTGCAACCCCCCCAACCCCCCCCCCCCTGGATCCGCCACTGAATAATAATCTACATCTACACACACATACACATACCGTATTTGCCGGCGTAAAGGCCGCACCGCCGTATAGGCCGCACCCCCAACTTTGACATTTCGTAGAGGAAAAAAAAAACTACAACAAAAAAAAAAAAAAAAAAAGAGAAAAAAAAACCGGACCAAACAAAATGATCGTAATTTTCTTGTAGAACACTCTTTTTTTTTTTTACAAATTATACCAAATTCATCAATATTCTTATAAATCAACAAGAAGTTAACCTCAAAAATGATCATAATTTAGCACATCTTCATCGACTTTTAAGCTAGTACTGTATCGTACGCAGATTTGGTATCCTACAATACCCCTTCCTTGATGTGCGGTGTAATCCGAAATAGCATTTTTTGACCTGCGCAGTTGCGTTGCGCGGCAGCTAGCTCCGTAAATAACGGCCTGTCCCTTTGTTTACTTTTTGGCGATGCAATGGTATGGACTTAGATCTAGATCTATCGGCAGATTTTATTAGAAAAATAAGTTTTTTCGTCTTCATGTCAACTATGCAACATAAACTTGTCGGTAAGTTGTGTGGAGTTATTCTAGAATTGTCCTGTACCGTTGTCTAGTCATGCTACCGTTCCTATAGTCCCATACGTGCAAATGGACGTGATGTTTTGACCGCTGAATTTTGTTGTTGTTGCGTATACGCCGCACCCCGACTTTTTGATTTTTTTCTCACCCGAAAATACTGCGGCCTTTACGCCGGAAAATACGGTACACAAACACAACCTGCCTCTCTTTCTCTCTATATCTCTCTCTCTCAGTCTAGTGATCAACTCAATGGACAATATTCTGAATAGTGTGTACCAATATTGTATGTACATATATATTATAATCATTTTCAATATGTTGTTACACTCTTTGTGAAATGAAATATTGTGGAAACCAATAAACTATCTATCTATCTATCTACTATGTCAGACAATGTCAAACATTTATTGAATTATTAACCTAATAACCTACCATATGTCATCTCTCTTTTGCAGATATCTGAATGATAACCTGATTGCATCTCTTCCTACTAATGTCTTTGAAGGCGTCTCTGCCAGTAGGATGTAAGATCATCTTCAATTTTGTAATTCATAGTTTATTTTTAATGTTAAAGGTAATACAAAGTTTTGGTATGGGGTCATAAATATGGTTCAAATGAACATATTTGAAGCATATGCGATCCCACAATATTCAGTGATTGTTGTCGGGGTTAAAATCGAGTCTAAAGTTATGAAATTGTAAATAATAAGACCTCGTTCTCACTCACTTTGAAAGTGGTCTTAGTTAGACGGCTCCAGAGGAACGGGTCTTGAGGAATGGTTTGCGAGCGTTCACACTCCGAGCAGTTTTTTATGGCTCAAACCGCTCCACGAGTCAATGTGGTCTTGTTGCTATGACAGCTCAGGTCAGCAGATCAATTTTTTCGCGCGCGGAACGTCACTAGCTCACTTCCATTCAAAGTACGCTTCCGTTCACATTGCACGTTAGAGCGGTCCAAACCGCTCTTAATAAGACCCGTTCCTCAAGACCACCTTGAAAGGTGGTCTTCTGGAGCGGTCCAGAAGTCCACTTCCTGGACCACTTTGACCGTTATCACTCACCTAAGAACCGCTCCTGAGGAACGGGTCTTAGTTAGACCGCTCCAACGAAGTGAATGAGAATGGGGTCTATGATATTTTTACTATAGAATATTTCAAAGGAGATAGCTTTTGAAATCTTAAAGGCATTGTTTAACGATATTTAGTATTTTACAAATCTGACATGCATGGCCCTACGTGTCATCAGTGTCTGTGATATGGTGTACAAATGAAACCCTAAAAAATTATGCTTCCAAATGATCATGAAGTGCTTCCCAAAAAGTAAAAATCTATGTGTGATTGGTCTTACTATGCCTTGTACTCATTTTCTTTTTTTTTCCCAATAAATCATGCATATATAATGAGATCAAACATAGCTTACACCCTCATCACCTTCAGCGGACAATTTTTGTACGACTCCTTTGCCTTGCATTGCCAATTTGAATATCAATTCTTTCCTAATCCCTAGCTACTTGACCAACAACAAGCTGACGGCCTTTCCAGCCGCGGCTCTCTCAACACAGTCTATGTATTGGCTTGATCTCTCCTACAACCTAATCAGTACTATACCGCCGAGCGCTTTTACATCCCTCACCAGTACCCAATATGTGTAAGTATTATAGATTTTGTTTTGATATATTCATACATTTATTTACTAATTATTTGTTTCTTTATTCATTTATCTAACTATTTATGTATTTAGTTATGCATTCATTTATTTATGTATTTATTTATTTAATTATTTATTTATTTATCTATGTATTAAGTATTATCTTTTGTTTAAGTGATGATTTATTTATTTATCCAATTATTTCTTGTATGTATTTAGGTATTTATTTGATTGTTTACCAATTTATATTTTATGCATTTATTTACTTATTTATCCATATATTTATCATTTAGTTATTCATTTATTTATTATTCATTCATTTATGTATTTATTTTGTTTATTTATTCATACATTTATGTATGTATTTATTCATTCATTAATTAGTTTATTTATTTTTTTAGTTATTTATTTATTTATGTATTTAATTATTTATGTAGTACACAAAATAACCAGCAGTGTATGCTGTAAGGGTAAGTTTATTTTAAGGCATTTGTGATTTGTTTTAGCACCCATTCAATGAGAGAAGATATGGTTTTCATTTATTACATAGCATAATACTTCTTTTAATCAACTCTTTTTTTCCCTTCATCATTTGCTTTATAATGATGCTGGTTTTAACACCATGATTTAATAGTTTTTCTTTCTTCATCAATCTTAAAATGGATTACAGTAGCGTACACATATTTGTTGCTGTTATCTGTATAGATGCATAATTTCTGTGTGAAATCATCTGTATATAGTTCATTTTCTTCATGTCGTTATTTTTTTGATCCGTTGATTTCTCTTTGCAGCTACCTTTACAACAACCAGATTCCTGAGATCCATCTTTAAATAGATTTCAGTAGTAAGGAAGGAAGGAGAGAGAGAGAGAGAGAGAGAGAAAGAGAGAGAGAGGAAGAGAGAAAGAGAGAGAGAGAGGAAGAGAGAAAGAGAGAGAGAGGAAGAGAGAAAGAGAGAGAGAGAGAGGAAGAGAGAAAGAGAGAGAGAGAGGAAGAGAGAAAGAGAGAAAGAGAGAGAGAGAGAGAGAGAGGAAGAGAGAAAGAGAGAGAGAGAGGGGTGAGGGGGGGGGACGAAAGAATATCTATGAAATGGAGGACAGAGTAAGTGAGAGGAAGTGATGGATAGAGAGACCAGGTAAAATGGGGAGAAAAATAGGGAGAAAGAAAGGGGGTTTGTGAGAGAAAGTGAGAGAGAAAGAGAAACAGATGTTAATGTTATCTGTAGATGTATAACTGAAAGATGTGTGTATGAAATAACCTGTAGTTCATTTTCTTTCTATATCTTTGTGATTTTTGCTCTGTTGTTTTCTCTTTGCAGCTACCTCGATAACAACCAGATTCTTGAGATCGGATCCACATTACTGAGTCCCTTAACCAATCTCAAAGAATTGTAAGTAACTTTATGTTTGTGAAAGAAATCAATCTTCATGATAATCATAATAAATAATGATCAAGTAATAAGTAACTCTACTGCATCACATTTTGGGTAAAGACTTGATAGAATGCTACGTTACAGACATACCAATGGAATTAAAATGTTTTTCTTAAAGAGCAAGATCTTACTTTTGCCTGTTTTAATCTATCATTTATAAGCATGTGGAGATTATCATTGTTAATGATCTCATTATTGTTCACTGTTGCCCGTTAACCCTTACTGTACTGGGGGGGGGGGGGGCCTGGGAGGCCCCCCTCGACATTTTCAGAGATCGTGCCGCAACCGCTTGGAATTTTAAATTGTCGTTTCATGACTTTTTTCCCTCAAGTCTTGCGCACATTTTGATACCATTTTCGTCAAAATCGGATATACCTGTCAGGTGTTACATAACAATTAGTATGCGCATGTCAATCAAAAAAGTGCTATAATTGCATATATTCATGTACAAGCAGAAATGTGAAGATATGAATTGATATGAAATTGCTTTTATATGTTTCTCAGAGTAACATGATGTATTCCAGAACAAAAGAATACATTAGAAATAAAACAATAGATATAATAAGAAATAAAAAACAATAGAATACATAAGAAAATAAATAGTTGAAAATCGCATCAAATTTGCATAAATTATCATTATTAATTACATCAAATAACTATTTTGTGTTAGAAAAGAAGTTTCATATGAATAATGAGTTTCAACATTAAAAACATGAATACTGACAATTTTTGTAATGATTCTAGTTCCCTAAATATAGTTCCTGATTTGATATTCATGAATGCGTAATTTGCATATTCATAATTTATGCAAATTAACCTATGCATTTTCATATATCATAAAAATAATGAAACCTCATGAATTTGAGATGAAGGAAACATTTATTCAATACATTTTCAAGATTCTTCACAAGTCTACAGACAAATATGTAGCGTTTTCTGTAAAATACATAAAATTAGCATTTTGCATAATTAATTAGGCTATAACGACAAAAATTTGCATATTAGGAAAAAACTAATTATACCATCTTGTTCCTTACGTAAATATCTACAAATATGCAAATTTTCGTGTTCATCGGACATTCGACGGCCGAGATCATAGGGGGGGGGGGGGTCTCCCAGGCCCCCCCCCCCCCCAGTCAGAGGGTGCTCAAAATAGCCCAGTACAGTAAGGGTTAAAGGTAATACAAAGTTTTGGAAAATTTTGAAAATTAGCTGGATAGTGATTCTTTACAATTTTGATATATTTGGAAGACCCTGTGGAAGTATTATAAGCACTAGAACAGGGTGCTACAAGAATTTTTTTCACCACTTGCCCTGTCGGGCAAGTGGGTTTTCAATTTACTTGCCCAAACAATATTTCCACTTGCCCAAAACTTTAAAGCGAAAAAGGACTCGAGGTTAAAGCATTTATTATCTCGTAATGATAAGTTAGTGTTTTAGATAGCAAATTAATGCACATACATGTACAGTGTAACTGTACTGAATATTATCTTCGTTTGTTCCCTTTCCTCTTCTTGGAGGTGATGCACGCAAGCCGGGAGATTTTGCTGCTGCCTGTCCTTTCCACGGGCAATCCTCCTCGCCTCCACGCACCGCACATGCCCTCTGCTCGACTCGTGCGCCTGAATGCACTGTTTCCTCAAATTAGCCGTCCCCACGTACATTGCTGCCTTTCTATCGGCGATCGCAGGAAAATCCACACATATACCACATTTCATGGTATTTTCATCACTATTGAATTGTAGCCATGGAAATTCCGTCTTCCATTTCGGAACGAACCCTCGTTGTCTGTTGTGTTCGTAGTTCGCTTTCTTGGCTGGCGGTGCCTCCATGTTTACTAGCACAATCGAGAAAAAACAGCTGATCAACGCACGTGTGTGTCTGTGCAAGCCGCTGTCATTTGGAAACGTAGGCTAATTTTCAGCTGTTAATAATTTGGGTCAACTCTTCCATCAAGAAACGTCATGTAAATAATGGGTAATCAACTATTTTAAATAAAGTACGGACATTTTTATTTCATCATTCACTGCTATAAATATCATGCCAAAATTTGTAAATTCTTACTAAATAATAATATTGAAGATATTTTACGATACATCTCGGATAAGTATGCGAAAACTAGACTAAACAACGTCGCTAAAACCATGAAAACAAAACAACAACGGCTTATATTCTGGGGGTCTCGATACTATTATCAAAATGACTCGCTCGGTCGGATCTTGAGACCGCAGTAATAAATTGAAAACGAGACAAAAACATTCATCTGATTTATATGAGCAGCGAGTTTTAAATAATATGTTCACAATCATTAACAGTCATTATGAATAAATATCAAACATTTGACTTTTTGTACTTACTAGAAAATCCCTGTTGTTTATTCCATTCCGATTCGCACGTGTTCATTTCCCTAGAATAATGACGTCATATTTGGCGTGATTCAACCAATCGGCAATCAGAGAATAGCAAAGGCCTGTCGGTGCGGCCTGCAGAGCTAGAGAGAGAGAGCGCGAATAAGCTCGCAGCTGGTACGATCGCGCTAGCTGTCTCTAGCTAGCTCACGGCCGGCCGTGCGTGGAGGCGGAGCGGCATTCATGGCTTGAAGTGTCACTGTTGCATGCGCGCTGAGCTGGCTAGCTGTCTGTGAAGTTTTTTCGAAATCGGAACGATCGCTTTTTTGCTCCTGGATTTTGACGACGGGTAAGAAGTTGACGGGTGAATGGTAGAGTTCTTGGACACTAGGAAATTACTGTAAAAGTATCACTTGCCCGAATCGGGCAAGTGATAATTTGATTTACTTGCCCGACGGCTCAATTTGGTTGCCCCGGGACGTCGGGCAAGCGGGTTTGTCGCGCCCTGCTAGAAAATTGAGCACCTAAATCACTTCAGCTTTAGAGAAAAATTTAATATCAAGATTTACCGGTGCTTCCGGTAAATTTTGACAAATTTCAAATAGCGCTTACGGCCATACAATGGTAGCTGCGACCTTGAAAATCTCAAAATATGTAGTTGTGGTATGTAATTTCCAAACGGGAATAACCAATTGGTCGATTTTAGTCAAGAAACATTGTTTTATGGCTTAATTAATATCCTAACCTTAAGAGAGGGCTATACAACATAAAGAGTTTATTATTTACAATTTCATAACATTAGACTCGATTTCAACCGCGACAAAGATTACTGAATATTGTAGGATCGCATAGGCTTCCAATATGTTCATTTGAACTAAATTCATGACCCCATACCAAAACTTTATATTACCTTTAAGTTGAAATATATTTTTCTTACCTCTTTTCACGGAATGATTGTTATGATTTATTCTTGATACTTTAGTTTATATCTTCTCAGAACTTTACTGATCAATTGCTACGACTCTTTACATTTGATGGTAATCCTCTGAGGAAAAAATATTCCAATTATTAAAATATGTGCTGCATTTAACACAATTTTAATTTGTTGTTTAATGTGGTGTGATTTGTTTCACAGAAACTTGATTAACAACAACATTTCATCAGTGGGAGATGGAGCTTTTGATGGGCTGGATAACCTACTCTACATGTGAGTATGTATGCACAGGTCGACAGGAGGGAGAGAAAGAGAGAGACAGGGGAGATGAGAGAAAGAGAGAGAGAGAGGGGAGATAGGGGAAGGGAGAGAGGGAGGGAGGGAGTGAGGGAGGGAGCTTTAGATGTGTTGGATTACCTACTCAACATGTAAGTATGTAGGTACAGATGGACATGAGGGAGAGAAAGAGAGAGAGAGAGAGGGTGAGATAGGGGAAGGGAGGGAGGGAGGGAGGGAGGAAGCTTTAGATGGGTTGGATAACCTTATCTCAATGTAAGTATGTATGCACAGGTGGAAAGGAGGGAGAGAAAGAGAGGGGCGAGATAGGGAGGAGAGAGAGGGTGAGATAGGGAGAAAGGGTCAAGGAAGGAAGAGAGAGAGGCAATGAGGGGAGGTAGGGAGAGAGGGAGTGAGAAGGAGGGAGGGAGGGAGGGAGGGAGGGAAGGAAGGAAGGAAGGAAGGAAGGAAGGAAGGAAGGAAGGAAGGAAGGAAGGAAGAAAGAAAGGAAGGAAGATTGAGATATGAGTAATATTGCTAAGGAGAATGAAAGAAAGGTAAAATCAGAGGGATGAAGAAAGAGAGATAGAGGGAGGGAGAGAGAGAGAGAGAGAGAAGAGAGAGAGGGGGAGAGATTGTTTATACTTTTCTGTCGTCAAGTAATTGATAAAATGTTATTAATTCTTCTCTCTCTCTTTACCTATAATACCTTCTGCAATACAGCTACCTGACTAACAACCGGATTGAACACTTCCCAGCCTTTAGTGCTCTAGAAGATCTCAGAACCATGTAAGTTTGTCTCTCTCTTTGCTTTCATCAGAACATGAATGTTCCTTGAACAGTCAAACCTGCTTTCTTCAGAACATGGATGTTCCTTTTACAGTCCAACCTGCTTTCATCAGAACATGAATGTTCCTTGTACAGTCAAACCTGCTTTCATCAGAACATAAATGTTCCTTGTACAGTCAAACCTGCTTTCATCAGAACATGAATGTTACTTGTACAGTCAAACCTGCTTTAATCAGAACATGAATGTTACTTGTACAGTCAAACCTGCTTTAATCAGAACATGAATGTTACTTGTACAGTAAAACCTTCTTTCATTAGAATACAAATATTCCCTAATTGTACAGTCAAACCGGTAGTAATGTGTGAATGTTATGTTTTATTTGATAGATCATTGTCTGGCAATCAGATCAGGACGCTGGGAGAGAATGCCTTCAGCCAGCTTGAGAGTGTATCGTCAGTGTAAGTATGATCTCAGCTTTAATATTAAGTCCCCTTATTTTTTTATTTATATATGTAAAACAGTTTATTGATCAGAATTATTCATGATCAGATTGCCGAATTGCAGATTCTTTCATAATCGTGATAGATCCTTTGGTTACTTTGTCAACCCTCCTGTTTGATGTTTTTGATTAGTTACAGCCAGTCTTACTTTATTCTACACAATCCTTTTGTCATGTGTAAAATTTTCAATGTTTTGTTTGTTATATATTTGTAAAATGCAAAAGAATGAAAAATCAAACAGAAATAAATATATCAAATCAAATCAAGTCAATAGGTACATAAATTGATGACACATACATGCATACATGTATATATGAAAATGCAATATCTTTGACAAATGACGTTTTCCAGGGCATCAATACATGTTTCCCATGACTAAGATGCATGTAATAGGCCTCCATTAAACTCTCTTCTTTATTTCCTTCTGCAGGGACCTTTCAGACAACAACCTAGCTTGCAGCTGTAACATCTATCTCTCCGTATACGACATCAAAGATCAAGTGACCGGGGGAGAATGTTCCACACCGGACAGTCTGACCGGTACACTCCTAGCGTCATCGCAGTCCGCATCGCCAGACTACTTTCTGAATCAAGAGAACTACTTGTTCTACTGCAGTGAGTTGTTGTTTCCAGATAGACTGGTTTACTAAAATATTCCAAATAAAACCTAAACCCTTAGTGGAAACTGTCATCAGAACAAATTCGTCAGAGCTATTGTCGGTTGAAGAAATGTCGCCGAAACAAATGTGGCAAGGCAAATGTCGCAGAACAAATGTCGTACGAGCTATATTGTATATTGTATTGTATTTATTTTCTGTCATTTAAAAAAAACATCAACAAATATACATTTACAATCACAAAGACACACTTATAAAACAAACAAAAAGAAGACAGAGGAATGGTCCTACTCAGTGTTGTTAACATAACAATGCTGTTTTACAGAGGGGTCCGTATAGACATAGAAAACATGAAAATAGATAGTACAGAGGTAAGGAAAACCTACAGCAAAATAAGAACTTACAATAGTGATAAGAAAAAATTGAAGTAAAATCAGAAAAAGGAGAAAGATATTTACGATATATACAAGGGAGAAAGCTAGACAAGTAAATTATTTATTAAAAATAAAGAAATAAATAAATAAAAAATGTTGCTGGAAGATATGTCGCCGAAACAAATGTGGCAAGGCAAATGTCGTCAGAACAAATGTCGTCCGAGCTAATGTCGCCTGAATAAATGTTGATGGAGTAAATGGCGTCAGAGCAAGTATTCGTCAGAGCTAATGTCGCCTGAATAAATGTTGACGGAGCTAATGTCGCCTGAACAAAAGTCGTCGGAACAAATGTCGCCTGAATAAATGTGGCTAGGCAAATGTTGACGGAGCAATTGAAATGTCACTAGAGCAAATGTAGCCAAAGCAAATGTCGCCAGAGCAAGTGTCGTCAGAGCTAATGTTGTCGCCTGAATAAATGTGGCAAGGCAAATGTAGTCGGTGCAAATGTCGGTTGAAAAACTTCTAACCAAAATATAAACGTTTCTTTTTTCCCCCTCCAGCTCCCTCTGAGATCAATGTGACCGCTCCAGCGTTTGAGCAGATCTTGGTTGAGTGGTTGGCACCTGACGTCCTGTACCCACCTTACATGAACCAAACTGTGTTTTCTAATAGCATAGACTGGTAAGTGTCATTGACATTGTCTTTCAGGTATCATGAAGGTCATTGACTACCAAGGTCATATTGCATTATGTCATTCTATTCTCCAACCCTTTTGTTAAAGTACAATTTGCAGTATTATAGTCCCCTATACCCACCTTACACAGACCAAACTGTGTTTTCTAATAGCATAGACTGGTAAGTGTCATTGACATTGTCTTTAGGGTCTTATGAAGGTCATTGACTACCAAGGTCAGATGACAATATGTCATTCTATTCTCTAACCGTTTTGCCAAATTACAATTTTCAAGTGATATAAATAATTACAGTCACTGTAAATGCATTATTGAATTAAATATTAATTTTTTTGTCAGAAGGCATTCAATGTTAAACATGCTGCAAAGTACATGTTGTTTATTAATCCAAGGACCATTGTAGGTTAGGACACTGCTCATCTTTTTCTCACCTTTCTCTTTGCTTCTCTTCTTTTTGTACTCGCTTAACTCCCTCCTTTGTCACCTCTTTCTGTCTCTGTACATATGTTGCTATTTCTCTCCTCCCCTCTCTCTTTCTGTCTATTTTTCTCTCTCTCCCTCTCTCTCCCTCTCTCTCTCTCTCTTTCTCTCTCTGTCTCCCCCTCTCTCACATACTGTCTTTGTCTTGCTCTCTCTCTCTCTCTCTCTCTCTATATATATATATATATATATAAACCTTATGCAATTAATTTCTCCCTCTCCCCTATAGGTCCTATGTCATCAACTGCACCAGTGCCAATGCCCCTACCATCACAGGCCTTATCGGCAACACCACGGATCTTAGCATCCTCTTTGAGTCTGACGACGGTGTCCAGTACGGAACAGACTACATCTGTACCATCAGACTAACATATTTAGGCAATACCAGTGTGGAGGGGCGGAGCATTCCGATAACAACGCTAGAAAATGTTGGTAAGTGTATTCCTGGGCCCCTTCTTACAAAGAGTTGATATCAATTGCAACTATGTAAATAAGAGATAGGAGACTGCAAACTTGTGATTGATAAGAGGACTTGCGATTGATTTGGATCAATCGTAACTCTTTGTGAGACAGGACCCTGATTGGTATCAAGATTGTTTTGTATAGAGCCGTCGTGGTCTAATGGTTAATAGGGACTTTTAGATTTGCGTGGACTGATACGTGGTACTTCCATTCACGGCAGTGCTTTAAAAGGACGTCGATCGTAGCATAGACCTATTGTCTTCGTGCGAATCTAAAAGTCCCTAATATCAGCATGGAGGGCCGAGCATACCTATAACAACACTAGAAAATGTTGGTAAGTAGAGTAATGTACAGCTGTTGTGGTCCAGTGGATACATCTCTGGACTGTGAACCATAAGGTACAGGGGTCGAATCCCAGTCGCAACACTAAAGTCCTTTGGCAAGACGATAATCTACATTTGCCACACTCCACCCAGGTGAGGTAAATTGCTTACTGGTAGGATTATTCCTTGAAGTGCACTGTGCGCTGATAACGGCTGCCGGAGCTAAGGCTTGGGTAATAACTTCCAAAGCTCTCTGGAAGTGCATAGGGACGTTATATCATATTGTGTTTTGCGATATCAATCAAGTTAGAAAACTTAAAACAAAAGCCATTTATCTGCATTTGCTTCTCTCCACCCAGGTGTAGTAAATGGGTCATGGTAGGAAGTTATTTCTTGAATGCTTTTATTGCCTATTTTGAGCAACATGATATTTTAAACCTGTGACCCATCATGCATGGATGCGCAAGTCACAACTATCTCTCTCAATACACTATGAGGTCCAAACCCCGAAACCATCTTTAGTTCTTTCTCCATCCCTCTCTATCTTAAGCCTTCTTCTTCATTGTGTCATATGATCAGTCACCTAGGTCTGACACTGTCCCAATTCTTGGATTTCTTCTTCCACGATTACCATCTATCTTCCATTCCATTCCAAGAGCAGGAGAAGATGTTTTCCTTTTCCTTTTGATATTAAAGGTATCACTGTAATCATTTACTTCATTGAAATCTCCCCCTCTTCTAACGATCTTTCATTATTCATTCCTCAGCTTCAACCAACCTCACCAAGTCGGAAGGATTGGATATTTCACTGCAGATCCTCTACTATGACTTTAGGTATGTAGTATTTATGTACGGCTCGCAATCTTTGGTTCATCTTCATGAAAAGATGCAAAAGCCTTTGAAGTTTACCAAAACAAGAAGGAGAGACACAGAGTAAGGCAGAGAGAGGAAGAGATACTAGGAGAAAGAGAGAGATAGAGAGAGAGACAGAGAGAGAGAGAAAGAAAAAGAGAGAGAGAGATAGAGAGAAAGAAATAGAGAGAGACAGAGAGAGAGAGAAAGAGACAGAGACAGAGAGAGAGAGAGAGAAAGAGACAGAGAGAGAGACAGAGAGAGAGAAAGAAATTCCATCATCCACCATGGAATTAACATTGTTTTATCATTCCATCCATAGTGCCGCTGAAGAGGATTTTGATTCCTCCACCAAAATCTTGAAGACGACGCCCACCTATGTTGACAGCCCTTTTCCTGCTTGGCTGCGAGAATCGGACGACCCGACCCTTGACACCTTCTCAGACTGGTTCAGGAATGTGGATAATAACTACGTGTTTGAGACCAACATTGTCATCCCCTGGCTGAATACATCGTCTATATATGACCCAATTAATAGGTCTGTACTATAACAACTTTTGATTGTAATAAAGATTATACGGTATATTCATTATTTTTGAGATACACGTTGTTATTCATAGCATAATTATTCATAACAATGTGCATGCCGCAATGGAAGAATTTATAATACACTACAATATGAGAATATAGCATATCAGTTTAGTGTATTCAAGTTTTAGTCTTGGAATTACAATCATTTTGTTCAAACTAAAAACCTCGTAAAAAAGGGGGAAATGTTTCATGTGTCCCTGTTTGGGAAGGTGATGAGTAATACACTGTAATTGTTGAGCCTGATTAAATTAGCAAGAGGGTTACTGCCAGCCAAATAATGATAAAAGCTTTAATACTGTAAATCTCTGTGTATAAGACGCACCTGTGTTTAGGCCGCACCCCTATTTTGAGCCAAGAAAAAAAAAAAAAAAAATTGGCAGCAAGCCAGGTCCGTTATAAAAAACCCACGCGGGAAGGACTTTCATTTAAATTTTAGGATAGCTGCCATTATGGCACTATAGCATTTGGGGGAATTCAGTCCTGCTAGGCACCCATTTACCTCACCTGGGTCAAGTGTGGCAACTGTAGATTAATGTCTTGCCAAAGGATGTTAGTGCTGTGGCAGGCATTTGAACCCTATACCTTGTGGTTCACAGTCCAGTGACTTATCCACTAGACCACAACATCTCTACATGAATTCTAATTCAATTAAATACATTATGTAATGGCTCTGCTTGCAGTGTAGGTGTAAATCCTGTGAGTTATATTCTGTTGGGAAGTTGTTTTCTGATGACTGATTTATCAATATACACTCACACAACACACTCACAAACTTATACACAAAGATCATTTAAACACTTACTTTTTCATTTTAAGATTTACCTTAAGAATTTTCTTTTGAGGCTGCCATCGCTTATGATTGCGGTCTCCTGCACTTTTTAAACAGATAGTTTGGATAATACTTTAACTTTATAATAATATGTTATAGAAATATAAAGTTTCAGTATCATATGTACATATGTTAAAAAAAAAAAAAAACTGTTTGACATGAAGTTATTATTGTTTGTATATTTTGTATTATACCTTACGTTTATATGTTCTTTATTATTCAGTTATTATATTTGGAAAAATGCAGAAATTAAATCAAAATAACAATCTTACAGGTACTGGTCAGAATCCTATTTTCCTCTGGATGGTCTAGGCTATGCTGCAGAAGACCAGAGAGACTGTTCCTACGTCCTTCGTAACTTTGGGTAAGTTTCTTAGTCATGGATGCCAGTTTGCAAAGCCTTCGCTCGATTTCAAGCCCTGTTGCTTCTTCATTTCAATTTTTCACTGTTCTTGTCAGGGGAAAACCTATAAGATAAATCACGCTATGATCTCTTTCAGGCACAATGGGTAAAGCAACTTGCACTCCTTGCTACAATAATAATAATAACTAGACTTTAATTCGTCACTTTGACGAATTAGGTGATACGTGCTATTTTGTTATCATGAAAGTGTGCCGATGATGATCTAATGACAATGATCATAAATACGATAAAGACCATGATTAAGAGCGGTATAGCGCCCCATTCAGGTATTCGATAGAGATTTGTAGAATCAGGATTTGAGAAAAAGTCGCCTAACACGCAAACTAAGAAAATTCTGACATGTCACCTTTAATTGAAATTTTCACTATGATGATGTCATCGAAATGATAAATAATGTACGTCTATATTGTAGATAATTTATTAGCTACACCGTATCAAAATTTGGGAGAACATAGAATACAAATAAGCTAGATAGTGCTCAAAGATCAATGTCATGAAGATTCATGATGTGAACGAAATTCACCTTCCTTAGGCATAACATGCAAATTGAGAAAATTCTGACATGTGGCCTTTAATTGAATTTTGTACTATAATGACGTCAATAAAATAAAAAGCAGTGTGTAGTGATCTTGTAGGCAGTTCCCTAAGCTACAAGATACCGCAATCTGGAAGAAAATCAGTCAATATTATGAGAAATACACTAAATTTTCAAAAAATATAATGACGTTATAATATGCAATTTTGTATTTTGACTTCCAAGGCCATTATGATGACGTCAAGATGTATTTAATGGCCAAATGAGCTATGAAATCATATCTCCGACTCTCACTCTATCAAAATATGAAAAAAACTTGGCAGTCCTTATTCATCCCAATGGACTTTTTATAGGCATGTTTTTTCCCATATATACTATGTAATACATGAACTCGCGCACAAGGATATTTATCTTGAACGGACGCTCATTCCGTTATTAATAGTGATAAAGAGATTAACATGGTATCAAAATGCTTGGAAAAATGTGCCAAACATGATGACATAGAAAATTTGGCGATTATATGTTGCAAAATGCCAGAACGCGCAAAAAACGTGCGCGCATGCGCGTTTGAGTGATTTTTTGTCAAATGCTCCATATGGCTTGATACGTGTGCAAACAAAATTGGGAATGATTTGGAGCATTTTAAATTTTTGCGCGCACGTAAACGCGCGCACGAACGCGTCCGCGCGGATTTGCGCACGTTTTTTAATCTCAAATTGACCGGAAGGATATTGATCTTATTCATGATAAAAATGAATGAAAAATTACTTTCCGTTATGAAGATATGATCATAAGTTGATTTTTACAAAATGGCGCCTGGATGACGTCACGATAAGTTCGAGTCTTTGAAAAGTCATGCAGTTCTAAGTTAGACTAAGATCTATCATCATTGAAAGTTTCATGACAATGGCTTTTGCCATTCTTGAGATATCCTGCGAACAAAATTGAGGAAGAATAATAATAATTTCTTCTATACAGACACAAAATAAATACTAGACTTTAATTCGTCACTTAGACGAATTAGGTGATACGTATGATAATGGTTTACATAACGAATAATGCATTACACGATATATTATTTTGTAAAATGCTTCTCCCATTCGTATGCTTCTCCCATTATGATCTATTCATATGTCAAGATTAAATTGTGTCTCCTTGATCATCATGGATCTAGGGAAGATAGATTGAAACAATATATGACCTTTGACCCTGTGCAGTAACCAATTACACATTTGACTCTAATTTACATCATAAAGAACAGCTTTTGACGATTTTATCTTATTCAAAGAAATGAAAATGTAATTGATAAATGATTATCATCATTATGATAATGATGATCATGATGATCATGATCATGAGCGCGATCATGACATCTTATTGAAAAAATGAGGGTTGATTTAGATAGCATATAGTCTCAGCTACAACATACTAAAAAATTAACAAAATCCAAGCCGAAATAACGGCGATATTGCTCGCAAAAGACAGGAATGTAGACTCCAGATTTTAGAAAAAGTCATCTCCCACAGGGATTACACGCAAAAAGTAATGGATTAAGTGAAAATAGGGTAATAATAAAGTAAAAAGGGTTATTTTATAGTATTAATGACTGCTTTGAGAGAAATAGTTGTTTTATTACGCTCAAGGGAAGGTTAGAATTGTGCTATTCCCCGAGGCTTGCCGAGGGGAATAGCCCAATTGTAACCTTCCCGAGAGCGTATGAAAACAACTATTTCTCGAATATTAAAGCAGTCATTAATACTTTTATATGCCGAAAAAAAATAGACTAAAAAATAAAAAATAAAAAATACTTTTTTTTTTGGTCGAAGATGAGATTCGAACTCTTGCGTACAAAAGGTGTTGATTGTTCAGTCAGCGCCTCAGACCTCTCGGCCATCGCGCGCTATCAAAATGCTTGGTAGTTTTGTACGATATATACATTAAAATGGATTGAAACCGGCTTCGCGTGTGATGAATGCTTCGCAAAAGCTCCATATACGGACTCTTCTTTTACTTTTGCAATGCATATTGGCACGAACTTAGATCAAGATCTATCGGCAGATGTTGTTTTTTTGTTTTTGAGAGTTAATTTTCGTCTTCATGTCAACAATGCAAGATAAAATTGTCGGTAAGATCGATCGAGATTCAATTATATTGAAATTGCCGACCAATTTTTCGCACACGTATGGTATCCTCCATCGCTCAAACCATTTTTTAACATGTAAACCTATGGGGTAACCATGGAGACTGACCTATTTTTTTAATAACCATGGTTATTAAAAATATTGAAATGTTTTATGCATGGTTACCGGGAATTTTACAGGAACAGTTGAAGTTTATGAATGCAATTCGACCAATCAGATGGCTGGATTTCTTAAGTGAGGTATATAAATGACATTATTTGCGAATCTACGTGTTTAAATAATCAAAGATGATGGTACAGTGAAGGTCAAAAGGAAAAAAAAGTGAAGAAAAAAATTGTTGGAGACACCCGGACTCGAACCAGGGATCTCGAGGTTGGAAGTCAAGTGCGTTACCGATATACCAAAACATCTCCCATAGCGATTACACGTAAACGGGAAATGGAATTCAGAAATCCTACTTTGCAAGTGAAATATGAGCATGATCCCGGCATCTGATCGAACAATAAAGGGCACACTTGTGATAGCTCATTGTCTCAGCTACAACATATCCGAAGCTCAGCGAAAACGAAGCTAAAACAACGGAGATTTTGCTCGCGAAAGACAGGAGTGTAGAATCCAGTTTTGAGAAAAAGTCATGTCCCATAGAGAATACACGCAAAATGTGAAAAATTGACATGCCTCCTTTAATCGCAAAATACACCATGATACTTTTGTCAAAAATAAAAATTGTGAATACTGCATTTGTAGAAAATTTTCTCAGCTAAACATATCAAACTTTGAAAGAAAATTGATTGAAATTTACAGAGATACAATCAATTTTCCAAAAATATGCTGACGTCATAATATGCAAATTGAAATTTTGAGTTTGGAGGCCATTATGATGACGTCATGAGTTAATTGAGGATCAAATGAGACATGAAATCATATCTCCGACTCATAATTTATCCAAATATGAAAAAATATTAGGAGTTTCTATCTATTCTAAAGAGTTACAATGAATTTTATATAGGCATGTTTTTGCCCATGTATTGTGTATAAAGAAAACGCAAATCCGCGCGTGCTGTCAACTTTGACGGACGCTCATTGCGTTAATAAAAGGTGAACAAATAATCAAAATGCTTGGAAAAATGTACCGAATATGATGACAGAAAAAAATCGGCGATTCTATGTTGCAAAATGCCAGTACGCGCGAAAACGCGCGCGCATAAGCGTGTGCGTAATTTTTTTATCAAATGCTCCATATGACCTGAAACGTATGCAAAAAAAAATTAAGACGATTTTGAGCAATTTAAAATTTTACGCGCGCACAAACGCGTACGCGCATTTTTGCGTGCATTTATTGACCTGAAATTGACCGGACGGATACTGATCTTAATCCTGATAATTATAAATGAAAAATTACTATCCGTTATGAAGATATGATCATTAGTTGATTTTCACAAAATGGCGCCTGGATGACGTCACGATGACTTTGAGTCTTTGAAAAGTCACGCAGTTCTAAGTAAGACTAAGATCTATCATCATTGAAAGATTCATAACAATGGCTTCATTCAGTCTTGAGATATCCTGCGAACAAATTCGAGGAAGAATAATAATAAATAATAAATAACAATCTTGACGAAATCAATAGGTGATACGTAGACTTCGTTACGTATCACCTAATAATAATATGTCTTGTTTAACTACCGTAATTAACGGTGTATTAACCGCACCTTTTTGCCGCCGAAAAAAATCTAAAGTTGGGGGTGCGGTTTATACACGGTACACAAAAAAAAAAAAAAAAAAATTAAAGTTTTGATTTATGCCCCTCCACCTGGCGCTATGCCTGGCAATGTCTCCCAGCTCAGTAATCGGTGTGTTGACTCACCATTCGGAAACTAGAACAACACTCAAATTTGTCTGTCATCTTGGTTTGAAAGTAATCTTTTTGATAGATTTCAATATGTAGTTGATAATAATAATTCCTCCAATTTTTCTTCTATTACACGGCGTACCACAAGGTTCAATCCTAGGTCCTCTACTGTTTTTTATGTCGGCAAAAAAAAAAAGTCAGCAATTTTTTTTTTTTTTTTTTTTTTTAAGGGCGAAAAAGAGGGGTGCGGTTAATACACGAGGGCGGTTTATACAACGTTAATTACGGTAGGGTATAGCCTCATCAGTATTAACCGTATTCTAACCGGGCTATTTCGGACCAGGTTTTTTACCAGGGTAGACCACTGAAACACCATAAATATAACAGTATCATGTACTTTTCCATCATCACCATTCAGGTTCACAAGTGCGATCCGAACCGGGATGCATTTCAACGGCAGCGAGGAGATCGCGGTTGGAGGAGGAGAAGAGATCTTTGTTTACGTCAATAAGATACTAGTCTTACAAGCCCAGAGAGAATACCAATCGGTTACTACATGTAAGAAGGTCAGCTTGGCTAATGCCTACGGTAAGTTAGCGTCGGGCTGGGATTTGAACCACATACCTTGTGATTTGCATCCGGGTGACTTATCCACTAGACCACAACAGCTCTACAGTTCTGCCTCTAACAATAGATCATTAAAAAAAATCTATGACTACTGAATTTCTCCAATCCTTAGGCTAAATGCATGAAACACAGGGAATGGATTTATACATCAGAGACTTGTACGATTTGCAGATTATTAGGCTATAAAAAATCACAATATTGATTGCTGACATGTTTAATCACCATAATCCACTATTTTGTAATCAGAAGCAAATCGATTTTGCAGAATTTAGTAATATACACATGCAACCATGCAGTTTGATCTTAATCTTAGTAGCACTGTAGTGTGGTTAGTGTGTAAACACAAAATGATTATAGCTGTTGCCAATTTTTTTAGGAAACACTGATTCATTTGATTATTTAAAAAATCTGTGTTTTGGACTTATCAACCCATATTCAGATATGGCACAATAAACATTCGGCCAAAAAAACTGTCATGTTAACAAATAATAACTTAACCTGTAAATGAATGGCAACTAAATGCAACAAATGACCAGTTCATATTCACTGAGCCCTGTGTTTATGAGATAGAGAAATATGATGCGTTTGCACTTAACGTCTGTTTTGCTACATCATATCCGAGCAAGCCTTTACAGTGCCCAAAATAGAAATAGCATGCATCAAGTGTTTGATCCTTTGAATAGAAGTTGATGAAGTTTGCAATAAATGTCAAGTGTCTCTTTGTTTGGAACACAGGAGGAGGCACAATCACACCACAGGAGGGCAGTATTGTGAATGGAGAATGTGTTATCACCGGGAGCGTTCCTGCAGAAGCGGTTACACTCGACCTTGTGGTGAGAACATACAGTTATTCATACTTCACAATTCAAAGCAAAGTCAGGACTGTACTACTTGTAGCTATATACTTGCGCCCTCTATACAGCCAATAATGCCTAGGCGGTAAAGTCCATGTTTCACTACCATACATAAGTACTGGGTAGATGTAACAATTCAATACTCTTATTCTGGTCCTCATACTCATTGTTCGATTTGTCAGAATTTTGCCTATATAACTAATACAATATTGCTAAAATAATGTTTGTATATACATGACAGTTTGGGACTATCCAATTGTATAAAGTTCTGTTGTCAGCTTTTGTTTCAGGTAATGGTGCCCCCCTCCCCTCCTCCAAGCTCTGAGAGAATCAATGAAAATCTGCAATTACACTTTCAATTTGACATCTAAGTTTACAGATGTACTGTATATAAGTTGCTTAAGATGTTACTTATAGTTGCATTTTACTGGTATGAAATGATCTTATCTATCTATATCTATCTTACACGTAAGCCTAGATCACAGATGAAGTGTCATAGTCAAGTGGTCTAAGCACTTGACTTCAAATTCAAAGGTCTTGGTTCGATACCGACACCTCATTAATGTCCTTTGGCAAGGCATTAATCTACATTTGCCACTCAATACCCAAGAGAGAAATGGGGACCCGTATAAGGATGACGAAAGCACTTGTGTTAGTAATTTCCTATGCCCTCACAGTGACCATATGGTATGAATGCTCCCCAGGGAGTGGAAATAGTGCACATTGCGCCTGAATGAATCCGATGACTGGGCTAATAATTATCTGTAAAGCGCTTAGAGACTGTATACTCTACTAAACGCTATATGAATCCAGATTATTAGTATTCCGCAGTATGAAAATGGGTCTTTGGGCTAATGATGCATGTAGATTTGGTCTCATGCCTATTGTTATCTCGTCATTTTCAGGTCGGTGATGCGTATAGATTTGATATCTTCCATACGGAGAGACAGATGTGTGCTTCAGATTTCTTCCTAGAGCTGAAGAGTTTCAACGTGATCGGAGAAGATGAGAGAATCATTGATCATTCCATTCATATCAATGAGGGTTTGGACATCAATGGCATTGTGCAAACTCTGTCAGTAGCAGATTATTTCTCTACTGGCCCCAACTATAATGTTTCTATCATTAGTGGTAAGATATTCTATGAGTTTTCATATAAAACAAAATCTTTGCTTACAAATATGATTTTTAGTAAAAGGTTTAGTTTTAAAAGCCAGTGATGTAATGATTTTTCTGAGAATGAACTTTTTGTTAGTGAGATTCAATTATAACTGCTAAATACTATTTATTTTTCTTGAAGTAGGGAATGTATTCAAACAACAGTTTTCTTTACATGATGTTTTTTGTCTGTATATTTCCTAAGATTTCACAATTCCATTATTTAATGAAAGCCACTATCTAGGATACAGCATATCGAACTTTGTGTTACAGTGATGTTCCATTGTTACACTGCATGATTAACTCTTTGTAAATGTAATTATGTGTATATGTAATACAAAAAAGTAGTGATCGGTTCAAAGCAAAAGAGACATGATTTTGACAATATTGGTTTGGATAATTTAGACCACCATAATATTTTAACCTGGAAAGTCGGCATAGATATCAAATTAAATGTTCATGTTTCTTCGTTTTGAAACCAAGGTAACGAGGCTAGACACTTTACCATAAAGAACTACACGGCAGAGAACATTAATGCTGGGATCATCCCCTCCACTGTGGAACCCACCCCTACCTACACCATTGATGGAACGTCCTTTGTCACCTGCTCTTTCGATCCTGTGCAAAGTAAGTATTGTGTGCGCTTCATGTTATTCAAATTTGTCCAAAATGTTCATGATGATGATGAGGACGGGAAGGATTTTGATGGTGATGGTGACAGTGATGGTGGTGATGGTGATGATGATGATGGTGATGGTGGTGATGATGATGGTGGTGATAATGATGATGATGGTGATGATGATGATAAGGATGAGGATGATGATGATGAGGATGAGGATCATGATGATGATAGTTATGATGATAATGGTGATGAGGAGGATGATGAGTATGATGATAATGGTGATGATGATGGTGAGGATGATGATGATGATACTGATGATGTTGATGATGCTGATGATGAGGGAGATGACAATGATGATGTAGATGATGGTCATGGTACTGATGATCATAATTATGGTGACGGTGGTAATGAGGAAGAGGATAATATGATTATGATTGTAGTGATGATGATGAAGATTTTAATAATGATGGTGATGGCTGTTGTAATCATGATAATAATCATGAATAATATTAATGAAAATAAATATACCCAAGAGAACTTTCAACATATGACTGAGGCTATTTTTTTTGTTTTACATGCCGTGAAAAGCTGTGTACATAATAAGCACTCTTTTGTTAAAAGTATGTAAATAATTTGATGTTATGAATTTAAAAAATCAGAGGCTCTGAATATATGTGTATGAATGTATCTAGTATATTGTCCTTTTATATGTCATTTATTTGAAGTGTATTTTAACCATCATAATGTATCTTACCTTGTAAATGACCATGCAATTCAGCTTCGGCTGCAAGAACTACATATTGAATAATGAACCCTTATTGAATTGAATTGAATAAAATCTGTTTCTTTCTGTTGTTCTATAGTCGCTGAGCCTGATGAGACAGGCATCCAGGAGTATGACGTCTACACAGATCAAGCTCTACTCACCATCGACGTTAAAGTGGACTATGAGGTCGCCTACGACTACCTTCTCATCATCAACGTAGAAGACAATAACTCATCTCCACCTCGTTCAGGAGAGTTAGCGGTTCAGGTGGGTGTTTCACAAAGATTCTAAGTTGAACTTATCTCTAAGTTGGACTAAACAATTATGGAAAGCCGTTAGCATCTGTCAAATATTTTGTAAAAGGTATTTCAAAAGGCATAAAATGTTGATTCAAATAAATTAATATTTTTTATTATCAAGGTGATTTCATGTTCTTGATGTGGAATTTATGAAAAGTCTAAAATACTTGAATTTTTGCTTTTGAATATATTTCATTATAGAGCTACAAATGGCTCTCCATAATATTTAAGTCCAACTTAGAGTTAAGTTTGACTTAGGATCCTTGTGAAACACCCCCTGGTATACTTACAGCTGACACTTTTTGTGGAGGTGTTGTGGTCTAGTGGATAAGTCTACTGGCTTTGAACCACAAGGTACGGGATTCAAATCCCTGCCATATCTCCAACGTCCTCTGGCAAGACATTAATTTACATTTACTACACTCGACCTACGTGTGGTTAATGGGAACCTGGCAGGAATTAATTCCTTCAAATTCTAGAGCGCCATAATGGCAGCCATGCTAAAGCCAAAGTAATAATTTTTGTGTCTGACAGACGTAGGCGATGGATCCTTGTGCCCACAGTAACGTTACAATTTCACACAATATCCTATCAACCTTTATTCCTTTGGCAAGGCTAGCTCATGCATCTAACAAAGCATTATACTATGTAATGTTTTCAGGTATAACCTGAATCCGATGACTGGGGTAATGATATATCTGTTAAGCGCTTAGAGACATCGTTGATGTATTAAGCGCTGTATAAAAGCGGAATATTATTATTGTGTTTTGTATTGTTACTTTCTCTGCTCATAGATATATGTTGATGATATCAATGATAACTGCCCCATCTTCAGCGGTGACGACAGTTTCCAATTCTTCCCTCTCCCCGTTCTGAACAACGCTGAGCTGGCGGTCGTCAATGCCAGTGACCAAGATTCAGGAGTTAATGCAGAGCTGACTTACCTCTCTCAAGCTCTCTCAGAAGAGTAAGTGAAACTTAAACCCCAACTTTACTACTTGTAGCTACTTGCTCCCTCTATATAGAAAACAATGCCTAATCGGTGCATGTTGGTCCCCCATGATCCTCTTTTTCTTATGTTAATTAAGAATTGAGTTGATGAGATAGCCACCTGTCAGTGACCTCGCTGGGTGGTCTAATCTCTCCTGTCCACACTAAAACGTATTATAAAGGCTTGTTCAGATACGGAGAGGTAAATCATCGCAAAATCCGCAATGCTTCTCTGTGTGTCAATGAATGGCCACTGGATGCAACCAAAGACTTGTGCGTATTCACTGAGCTCTGTGTTATAAGATACAGAAATGTGATGTGTGTTACACTTTATGTCATCATGAATAAACCACCACGGTTTATGCCACACCATGTCTGACCTAGCCTTAACTGAGCTTTTTGAAAGCTAGCTTTCACTGAAAGGGGAGAGGGGAGGGGTGGTAGGTGTGTGTCATTTTGATGCTTTCATTTCGTTTCATTTCATTTATTTGCATTTCCAATTTTGAATTCTTCTTCTGTGTCCATCATCTGAGCTCAAATGTTCTGCCATGCTCTTGCACACTGTAGAGTCTTCTCATTTGCTGCCACTAGGTCTTAAACATTACATCATGATGACTTGTCCAGGGCATGGTTGATGATCACAAAAAGATATACAAACTTACTATTAATAAATATATAAACCTCATATATATATATATATATATATATATATATACAGAGAGAGAGAGAGAGAGAGAGAGAGATTATCTAAATCTAATTATTCACCAATATCTAAGATATTGTCTTTACTGAATATACAATTTCCATGCCCTTTCTTTCCTTCCCTCTTGCAAAGTTTCAATGTTAATTAATTGGATGTAATTTGTAGTGCAAATTCTTTTTCATTTACTCATCAACTATTCTCCTTCTAAACCGCTTAGAGGCATTATGGAATTTGCGGTATAGAAATATCTTATTATTGTTAATTATTATTATTATTAGGCATTTAGCTACGCTATTACTAGTACACCAGGGAATAATTTTCCTCAAATATTTTGATTAGCAATTTCAGATTTCCTGAATCTGGCATTGTGATCTTGGGAGATTTCAATGACATGGATACCGATTCTCTAGCATCCGAAATCGATTTCTCCCAGATTGTTGACAAACATACGAGAGGCGACAACGTCTTAGACAAGGTCCTGACAAATATCGCTAATGATTACAACCGACCAGCAGTCATCAACCCGATTCGTAACAGTGATCATAGAACGATCATTGTTTCTCCGAAGGCCACTATTCCCAAACCGAAGCGACAGAAGATATCAATCCGCCCCATTAGAGATTCTTCTATCAGGTCCTTTGGCCAGTGGCTGACCTCTGTAGATTGGAGTTGGCTACTTGATCTTGAAAATGCTGCTGATATGCAGGTATCATTTCAAGATGAGCTAACCACGGCTTATGAGAGATGCTTCCCTCAGATTACATTTGTACGGAGAGATGATGATAAGCCTTGGATGAACAATCGTATTCGTTCTCTGATCGACCAGCGCCAAGCTGCCTATCAATCAGGAAACCTTCCACGTTATAGCCAACTCAGAAAGCAAGTAGAGCGGGAAATTAAAGCTACCAAGAGCAAATTCTTCCTTGGAAAGGTGTCACACCTGAAGAAATCACAACCTGGGAAATGGTACAAGGAGATCCGTAACATTACTAGTGTAAAAAAGACATCAAATAAGCTACCTGGATCTCATATGGCACCCGCCAAGCAGGCTGACTGGATAAACTCCCACTTTGCGAATGTCTGTTCCTCCCTACCACCCCTGGATCGCAGGTCTCTTCCGGCGTACTTGCCAGCTGATTCACCACCGGAAATCCAACCTTACCAAGTGTACAATAAATTGAAGAAACTGAAGATCTCAAAGTCATCTCATACTAATGATATTCCTTTGAGACTTGTTCGTGAGTTTGCTGTCGAATTATCTGTACCATTATCTATCATTTTCAATTCCTGTCTACAATCGGGTTTGTTTCCAGAGTATTGGAAAATCGGTAACATCATTCCGATTCCTAAAGTAAACCCATGCAATTCTCTGGATCAGTTACGTCCTATCTCTGTAACACCAGTCTTTGCTCGTGTCTTTGAGGAGTTTCTTGTGGAGTGGATTAGACGTGATATTGCCGATCATATAGACCCCCGACAGTTTGGCAGTGTCAGAGGCTCTTCCACTGTACATTACCTCCTCAGCCTGGTTGATTGTATTTTGCATGAAACTGACAAATCGGGAACGATTGCATCAATTTGCACAGTTGACTATGCCAAAGCATTTGATGCTATCGATCATACCGTTTTAGTAACTAAGATGATAAATATGGGTGTCAATCAATCTATCATTTCCGTTGTGTGTGACTTCCTGAGTAACAGATCCCAAACTGTCCGCCTTGGTGGCATTACCTCTCAAGTTCAATCCATAACATGTGGTGTCCCACAGGGCACCAAGCTTGGCCCAATCCTATTTCTGATCATGATCAATGATGCTGCAGATTTCACCCCAAATAGATGGAAATATGTTGACGACCTTACCCTAGCAGAATTCAGAAAACATACTCAGCAATCACAATTGCAAGATCAGGTCTCCCAGCTAACCCAATGGTCCAGCACAAATCACATGACGCCTAAACCGTCAAAATGTAAGATCCTTAATATATGCTTCATGCGAAACCCTCCACCTTTCCCTGAAATCAAGATCGGCGATTCTGTTCTTCAGGAAGTCACACACCTGTCACTGTTAGGAGTTACCTTGCAATGTAATATGAAGTGGGGTCAACAAATTGATCTCGTCGTTCAAAAAGCTTCGAGACGATTGTTTATGTTGTGTATCTTGAAGAAATACAATGCATCCTGTAGTGATCTAGTTACCATTTACGCATCCCATATCCGTCCCATTCTAGAGTATGCCTCACCTGTCTGGTCTTCTTCAATCACTTGTCAACAGTCTGAGAAAGTTGAGAGAGTTCAGAGACGGGTGACCAAGATCATTCTCGGTTTCACCCCTCTCACCTATGATGAAAGGCTAGAGAGTCTAAATCTGACCTCCCTTCAAGCAAGAAGATTAGAGCTTGATGCTAAGTTTGCCCACTCGTTACTGACGTCCCGACACAGAGACTTACTTCCACCATCTAAAGATTCCTTGCCCAATTTTCGCCCCCTCCGTAATAATCATGGTTTGGTCATTCCTAGGTGCAGGACTAGCCGATATCAAAATTCTGCTGTTCCTTCTCTTGTTCGTGCAATTAATAAGCCTTGATCCTCTCTCTCTCTATCTCTATCTCTATCATCTCTCTCTCTCTCTCTCTCTCTCTCTATCTCTCTCTCCCTCTTGCCTTATTCCTCAGAATCTTTTAATTGACACATTCACAATTTGGTGTACATTATATTTTAATAATGGCATTGTATAACTAATTTCTGTGTGGTTATCTTATCAACTCAAACGTAATTATGTTAATTCAGGTTTTAAGGCTTTTATCGTTGCCTATCTTCAAAATATTTTCCCCCCTTTTTTCTTTGATTGTTTGGTTGCTCAACATTATTTTGGTCTGTTTATCTGCTACCATTACCATATATCAGTTTAGTAATTTTATGATCTTGACCCTACTCTCTCTTAGTTTATTTTGGTATTGTATTGATGGAATTGTATTATTTTTGTCATCTTTATTTCGTATTGTACTTGTCATACCTTTCGTTTGGCTCACTATTGTATATTTACTGTATTTATAACCGTATTGTATAATTTGTAAACATGAACAGTTTTGGTCCTTGGACCTTTGAATCATGTATATTTATATGTCTTTTTAAACCGAAATAAATAAATAAATAAAATATTTCAAATGAAATTCTGTACATTTCTATGGAAGAAAACTGCTACACAAACAATATTTTGTATAGCAGTCATGTAAAAATGCATAGCAAATTGCGATGCGATACCAGGAAAATTATTCCCTGTACACTATATCACAGCGCTTACAATATAACCACAAATCTTAACATAACATTGAAAAAACAAAATCATAACAAATCAAGTAGGAAATAAGTAGGTTTTAAGGAGTTTATTCTTAATGAAATTATATATATTTTTTTGTTCTTTTCCCAGACGTATCGGGAACTCGTCCTTCTTCTTGGTTGAGATGATCGTGGCTGTAGTAGATGCAGGGGTACCAGTCAGAGGTGATGTAGCTAATGTCAATCTAACCATCAGTGATACGTGTCTGTATGACGTCTTGGAACAACCCATTGAAACCATCATCTATACCAACGAGACGACGGGAGGACTATTTCTTAGAGTGCCCAAGTATTACCTCTACGAGTATGGTAAGTTCTAAAGGCAGGATAATAATAATACAGTCCAACCTGCTTCAGTGAGCACCTGTCTACAAAGACCACATTTTTTTGTTTCCCTTGAAAATGGTTTCTCATTGAAACATGTACTGAAGGAACCTGTCTACAAAGGCCACATTGTTTGTTTCCCTTGAAAATGGTCTCACATTAAAACATGTACTAATGGAACCTGTCTACAAAGACCACCTGTCTACAAAGGCCACATTTTTTTGTTTCCATTGAAAATGGTTTCTCATTGAAACATGTACTGAAGGAACCTGTCTACAAAGACCACTAATTGTTGTGTTTCCCTTTGGCGGTGGCTATAGACAGGTTTGACTGCAGTACAGTGTTTTGAAACATTAGTAATAATTGTTTGTTTTACCTGACTGCTAAGAAAGCATGTGTATGCTTGTAAGTAAGCAACCAGGGGACCGATGGCTTTAAGGTCTCTCTGAGGGACATGGAAACGAGGATTACCGTAATGCCTTATCAAATGGAACTAGCGCATCAAATTGGTTCGGACCCGGGATCTCACCGTAACGAGACCATTGCTCCACCAATGAGCCATGGCGCCTCCTTGATGTTAATGCCATTATTAGTTGAATTCTTCTAATGTATGATCTATAGATAAATTAATTAAATTTAATTTTAAATGTAAATTTTGTATATTGTGACCACGATTTGTGCCTCCCTTGAGAGACCAATGCCAGTAAGTGGTGAGAGTAAACAGTGGCATGAACGGCCTGCCATAGTTAAGTCCAACGTAAAGTCGATCTTCGTCTTTGTGAAACACTCCTCTGTTGTCATGTTTTCCCCCCTCTTGATCTGTCTCTCAGACTGCAGGGATGCACGAGGGATGGCTAATGGTGTGATCCAAGAAGCCCAGCTCTCGTCTTCTAGTGAGATGAATCAGAAGTATGATGCTGACAGGGCAAGGCTCAACTTGAAACCAGATCCAGATATCCCTGCTGGATCAGGTAAGATGCACTGGTGAGGAGGTTGAGGAGAAGAATGAGGAGGAGGAGGAGGAGGAGGGGGGGGGGAGGAGGGAGAGGAGGGGGAGGGGAAGTGGAAGAGGAAGAGGAAGAGGTAGAGGTAGAGGTAGAAGTAGAAGGAGCAGGAGGAGGAGGAGGAGGAGGAGAAGAAGAAAAAGAAGAAGAAGAAGAAGAAGAAGAAGAGGAGGAAGAGAAGTAGAAGGGGAAGAGGAGGAGGTAGAAAATAAAGAAGATAAAGTAGTAGAAGGAGGAGAAGGAGAAGAAGAAGAAGAAGGGGAAGGGGAAGGCAGACCTGCCAACCAGTTCGATTTAGTCGTATTTAGTACGATTTTTAGAAGCAATTACGACAGTACGATTTTTCTCAATAAAATACGATTTTCAAAAAAAAAAAAAAAAACATTTAAAAAAAAAAAAAATTAATAATAATTTTGTTGTTGTTGGTATTTTGTGTGTATGTGTGTGTGCCATTTTCAATGGTAAAATGCCCTTTCTGTCCTATAAAGCATTTCACATCTGCAATTTTGGGATGTTCATTGGTTCATCAAACACACCAGTCGTGACGAAATCATGCATATTCAAGCAATGATCCATAAAAAAAATTCTTCCTGTATGTAGGAACTGTAAGAGGCATTGATCCGCTTTACAGTCCATGTTTATTTTTAAGAATCCAACTTTTGTCAGTAAAATACATCTTTTGGGATTAAAGAATACAGATTTTGAACTCCAGAGGTTGGCAGGTCTGGGAAGGGGAAGAAGAAAAGAGGAGGAAGAGGAAGGGGAAGAAGAAGAAGAAGAATGCCATGCTACATCATCATCATTTTTTTTCTAGGATGGATACCAGCCTCATCCAATACATATCAGTGGATCCAGGTAGACATGGAGGAAGTAACCATCTTCTCTGAAGTCTTAACCCAGGGTAGCAATGACATGGAATACTGGGTGGAAACATTCCAGGTTGGCTTCCGTAATGATACCTCCAGCTGGTCTTACATCTTGGAGAATGGGAGTGCTAAGGTGGAGAATGGGAGTGCGAAGGTAGGAATTGAATCATGAACCATGTGATCCACAGTCCAGTGACGTATCTACTAGACCATCTTGGTACATGTGCGTTTCATCTATAATAAAAAAATACTTCACTAATGTCCTTTGGCAAGAAATTCATCTACATTTGCCACACTCAACGCCAGTGAGGTAAATGCATGGTAACTTGGCAGGAATTAATTCCTTGAAATCTTTGAGCACCATAACAGCATCCATGCTAAAGCCTGTGGGTAATAATATTGTAAAAGTGCAGAAGTGTTAAGTCTGACAGACATAGGCGCTATACAGGAACCTACTATTATTGATTTGAAAACCGAGTACTGGCTTGGAACTTTCCACCCCTAAGAAAAAAGGAATGCATTTATATTTGTTATTATTAAAAGAAAACCTTTTTTTCCTGTTTTTACAGACTTTCACAGGGAACTCTGATCAGAACACCGTAAAGAGGAACATCTTTGATCAAGTCTACGCTCGTTATATCCGAATCTACCCTCTGACATGGAATGATGAAATTGCTCTCAGGTTCGAATTATTAGGATGCACCACAGAGAGAAGGTTTAGACGTAAGTTGATTTTTGAAGTCATTAATGATATATCTTTTAGTTGCTTTGTATGGTGTATAAATACAAGTATCTGTTATATACACTGGTAACTTGTGTGAGGTTGCCTCTTGAAGTGTTTTACATGTTATTTTTACTTCATATTATTCTTACTATATATTATATTTGCTACATATTATTTTTTTTTAATACATATTAATTGTACTACATGTTACATTTTACTACGTATTATTTTATTACTACATATCATTTTTTATTACACATTACTTTTTACTACATATTATTAGTACCACATATAATTTTTTCTCCAAATACTGTTTTTACTTCATATTATTTTTACCACATATTTTGTATACATATTAATTTTACTACACATTATTTTGTACTACATTTTATTTTTAATTCAAATACAATTGGAAATCTTTATATTTGTATAATTTGAGGGTAATTATATATTTTTTTAAATACTTTTCTTTTCGGGCATAGAGTATATATTGGCAAAGCACTTTGGGTATCATTAACCCCAGGCCTGCTCTTAATTAGCTCTGGTAACTATGACATTTGTTTCATTGCACAGTCCATTTCAAGGAATGCTCTTAACACCAGATACCCGCCTAGTACTCCTGGGTCAACAGAGACACATGTAGAGTAATGTCTTAATGCCCAAAGGATGTTGTTACGAGGCTCGATCTTATATCTTTTTATTTGTGCCAAATATTCTTTTGAATTAAGTTTCAACTCTTAATTGTAAAAGTAGATTTACCTAATATGTGGTAATGAATTTACTTATTGTACAATATTATTTGATCACTACATATCATTTTTACTACATATCATTTTACTACATATTATATTTTACTACATTTTATTTTTACCACATGTTATTTTTACCACATTTTATTTTTTCTACATACTATTTTTACTGCATACTATGAACATTGTTTATTTTGTATAGATTTATCGCAGTGTGAGCGATGTGAGACAACCAATTACTGTATAGGGGATGGCCTTCAGCGCCCCTGTGGTCGATGCGACCCTCCATCAGACGACTGCGATCGATCACCTACTGAACATTCATTTGGTCATGCGTCAGAGTGTACTACATGCCCTATTGGATGGGTAAGGCATGCAGTTATTTCAAAGGGAACATCTAAGATACAGGCCTCATAATTACCCAAATTAAATCAGTTTTCTGATTTTTTGAATTTTTTTTCTCCCGATGGTTGAGGAAATTTTTTTGTTTGTTTTTTGTTAGTGCTCACTACCACCCCTGAAGATTCTGACAACAAAACGTTAATGTCTGTTTTATTCCTTGCATACTTTATGCAGAAATTTGTCAGATTTTTAATAATGATTTTACAAGGTAGCATTCATTTGCTCGTGCTACAGAGTGTAATCTTAATTTTCTTTAATTGATTGTATATTATCATATTCGAAATGAGTATATTGTAAGATAGCATATAGTTCAATTTCTTTGTTTATATTTTTCACTTGATATGAAATATTTTAATAATCAAGAACCCTTGTAGGCAATAGTATATTTCATCATTTTAGAGTTATGATTTTATCAGAAGGATACATTCTGGAGTTTTTGGGAGTCCATATAATCACAGCCTTGACATAAACAAGAATTTACAAATTTAATGAAAATAATGGATAATCATTTGTTTACTGTAAATGATTTACCACACATTTCCATGAAAAAGATATATAACAGGTTGCAACAACATATTAAACTTCAATAGAAAGTTTGTGGTACATTTATTGTATATTACATAATTTTGTACCTTAAAGGCATCGTTTAACAATGTTAAATCTGAGATACATGGCCCTACGTGTTATCAGTGTCTGTGATATGGTGTAATATTGAAGCCCTAAAAGAATTGTGCTTCAAAATGATCATGAAGTGCCTCAAACAAAGTACAAATCTATGAGTGATCGGTTCTACCATGCTCATTTTCCCTGATAGACTTAAGTGTTATAAAAACCGTTAGGAAAACGTTTTTTGAAATTTTGAATTTCCAATCAAAAATATCTTGATAATCAGACAGGCTTGTAAAAGTCATGGGTTCCTGACTGACCCAAAGGTTTATAATTATCATTGCAGCATGAGTTAAATCCAGGATTTTGTTTCAGAATCTTAGACAAAGATATCCAATCCCTTTGATAGATGTGATTAGTTTAAATGATGTTCTGTATCGTCTTTCAGCTCTGTGAGGACGGGTATGCTACTCATTGCCCTACCTACACCTATGCTACATGTAACACAACGGTAAGTAGATGTACATGTAGATACTGCTAAGACAGAAAGTGCATGATTAAGAAATTCATAGTGTTTTTAATTTGAAAGTTTCTCTTTCCCCATTTGTTCTGGAATTTAAGTGAATGCAACCATTAATTTGTTAATATTGGCCTAAGTTGATCTGTCAAGACTTTTCAAAGTGAAGCAGGATCGGCTTATTTTGATGGTATCAAATCATAAATGCAAAGAACCAGAGAGAAATAGGATTAGAGATAAATTATCTGGTTCAGTTTTCTCTTAGTGAGTGTGCAATGTTTTGTTTTGTTGGTATCAAATCGGAGAGAGAGAAAGTGAGAAAGAAAGAGCAAGAGAGAGAGAGAGAGAAAGAGAGAGAGAGAGAGAGTAAGAGAGGGAGCAAGAAAAAGAGAGCAAGAGAGAGAGAAATAGATAGCAATCATTTTTTTTAATTTCTGTTTTCTCCCTTTTTTCCATTTATACATGTAGTATTGTCCTAGTGAGTGTACAACCTGCGAGGCAGGATCAGCCTGTTTTGATGGTATGAAATCCATCTGTCCAACTGGAAAATTCTCACAGGGCTACGATACAGGTAAATATATTCACTCCAAAGATGATAGTTAGGGAGAAAGAGAGATCCAGGGGAGAGAGGGAGTAACTTGGCATACATGTATGTATATACTGGCTCTAAAGTTGTTAGTCAGGAAGAGAGAGAGAGAGAGAGAGAGAAAGAGTGTAAGACAGATGGAGAGAGAAGGTTATGAGACAGGTTAATACTGTAAAGATGTTAGTGAGATTGTGAAAGTATTAATGAAAACAGAAATAGTGAAAAAAAGCAAGTTGTGTAAAATCATTTCATTTCCATTTACAGAGTTTTGTAAAGCGTGTGCTCCCGGCTCCTTCAACAACGAGACCGAGCAGTCTGAGTGCGCGTGCTGTGACAGCGGGTTCGGTAGCACGGAAGGCAAGACGGAGTGCGCCCCCTGTGAGATCAGTGAATATTCAGAAGGGTCATGTGACCTATGCAAGACGTGTCTATCGGAGGCTGATTGTGAGTATAATCTAGAGTGGATGTCAGTGATATCTAAAAGTGTTATAATTTTGTATCATCTAAATGTCTATGGGCCACTCAAATGTACCCTCATTTCAATGTATATTTAGGGCTATTTTAGAGAGAAAGTTACGTCGCAGGAAGTTGCTAAGTACTAATATTCTGTTTTAATTTTCTGTTATATTGCAAATGTCATTTGATATAAATTTTTATTTAAGCATTTTATTCAGGTTTTGATTTAGTTATGAAAATAAAATGATTTAAATGTAATTGAATTAAATAATCATTATGTTCTTTGGGATCTAGGTCCATGTTTCACGGAGCCTGGACCCTGTACGGAGGGTGTGGTCTGTGTGAATACCGGAGGAGCAGGAACATACAGGTGCCTGGACTGCCCTAAGGGATACACCGGCAGTGGAGATAATTGTGTGGATATAAATGAGGTAAGGAAAGAAGGGAGAGAGGTACAGAGAGAGGCAGAGAGAGACAGACATGGGTGGGAGGGGAGGGGAGAGGAGGAGGCAGCAGGAGCTGGAATATATAGATGTCTAGACTGCCGTAAGGGCTTTACCTGGACTGGAGATAATTGTGTTGAGATTTATGAGATAAAGAAAGAGGGGAGAGAAAGAGAAAAGAGAAAAAAAGGGGGTCAGTGGGGGAGGAGGGAGGGTGGTGGAAGAGGGAGAGATAGAGAGAGAGAGAGACACACACACAGAAGGGGGGAGAACAGCAGCTGGAACATATATACAGATGTCTTAGCTATTGTAAGAGGTATACCCGGACTGGAGAAAATTCTGTGGATATAAATGCGGTAAAGAGTGACTTTATATTCACTTGAAATATTGTGAAATATTTGATACATTTTTTTTCGTTCTCCAGTGTGAAGAAGCTAATCCATGTTTCAATACCAGCGCCTGTGTGAACTTTGAACCTGGTTTTGAATGTGGAGCCTGCCCTCTTGGTTACGAGGGTGAAACACCTCATGGGATTGGACTGGACTACGCCAATGCTAATACTCAGGTATGGTAGCTTCAAAGAGAAACAAGGTTAAATTATTGTATCATTGATTGTATCATACCAGAGCTCAAGATTAGCTTTAATAATGTCTGCCTTATAGTTTGTTTGTTTTTTAGCCGTAACCTACTGTTCAGTCTTACTACATGCTTTTACATGTATATATTTCATTTCTGTAAATTGGTAAGCAATAACATAAAGTATAACATTAGTATTTACAATATGAAGAGGTTATAAATTATAATTCATTCAGCCATTCAGAAAGTCCTTTCCTACATATACAGTCTAACCTGCTTAGTGACCACCTGCCTACAAAGACCAAACAATTGTTGTTTCCCTTCAAAACGGTTTCTCATTGAAACATGTACCAAAAGAACCTGTCTACAAAGACCGTTTTTTGTGTTTCCCTTGGGTGGTCTTTATAGACAGGTTTCACTGTACACATAAAGACCACCTGTCTATAAAGACCACCCAAGGGAAACAAGAAATGTGGTCTTTATAGACAGGTTTCACTGTACATATAAAGACCACCTGTCTATAAAGACCACCCAAGGGAAACAAGAAATGTGGTCTTTATAGACAGGTTTCACTGTACATATAAAGACCACCTGTCTATAAAGACCACTTGTACATGTAATTTCATACTTTGGTATCCCGCCACTGCCACCATGATATATGTATTTCACCTATAGTAAGTTTGTTTTGGTTTGTTGTTGTGCATCTGCAGGTGTGTTCTGATGTAGACGAATGCGCTGTAGACAACGGAGGCTGTGATCCTGATGTGGAATGCATTAATACAGTGGTAAGATAATCATTATCCTCTATTTTATACTTTGTCTTTCCTCTCCTTTTCTCTCCTCTCTTCTCTCCTATCCTCTCCTCTCCTCTCCTCTCCTCTTCTCTTCACTTCTCTCCTCTTCTCTTCTCTTCTCTTCTCTCCGCTCCGCTCCTCTTCTCTCCTCTCCTCTCCTCTCTCCTCTCTTGTTCAACACTTCTCTTCTCTTCTCTTCTCTTCTCTTCTATTCTATTCTCTTCTCTTCTCTCTTTTTCAACTCTTCTCTTCTCTTCTCTTCCCTTTTCTCCTTTTCTCTTCTCTTCTCACTCTCATATTTTTGTTCTCCTGCATATACTTCCAGGGGAGTTATTCTTGTGGTACGTGTCCACCTGGCTATCTTGGAAACACTGTCGTTGGTTGTACACCAGGAGACTACTGTGCTTTGAGTTTGGATAATTGCCATGACAACGCAACCTGCACGTCAACAGGAGCAGGTACATTTACTTGTGAGGTAAGAAATATACATTTTAATTCACATACCTTCATGACTTGTTGCTCTCCATAAAAACATTAATTTTGTCAATCAAGGAAAATACAAATAAAATGAAAACAAATTGAAACTAGACTTTAATTCGTCACTTAGACTAATTAGGTGATACGTATGATAATAATGAAGAATGCATTACACGATTTTCTAAAATGCTTCTCCTATTAAGATCTTTCCATATGTCAAGTATAAATGGTGTCCCCTTGATCATTATGGATCTAAGGAAGATAGATTGAAACAATATATGGCAATTGACCCTGTGCAGTAACCAGTTACAACTTTAACTCTAATGTACATCATGAAGAACACATTGTGACGATTTTATCTTATTCAAAGAAATGAAAATGTAATTGATAAATGATTATCATCATTATGATAATGATGATCATGATGATCATGATGATCAATGATGATAATGATCATGCTCATGATCATAAGCGTGATCCTGACATCTTATTGAATAAATGAGGGATGATTTAGATAGCATATAGTCTCAGCTACAACATACTCAAAAATCAACAAAATCCAAGCAGAAATAACGGCGATATTGCTCAAAAGACAGGAATGTATAAACCAGATTTGAGGAAAAGTCATCTACCGTAGGGATTACACGCAAAAAGTATTAAGTGATTAAGTGAAAATAGGGTAATAAAGTAAATAGGGTTGTTCATTACATTATTTGCGATTCTACGTGTTTTAATACTCAAAGGAGATGGTACAGTGAAAGGTCAAAAAGAAAAGAAAAAAGTAAAGACATATATTGTGGGATCTCGAGGTTGAAAGTCAAGTGCGTTACCGATATAGCAAAACATTTCCCATAGCGATTACACGTAAACGGGAAATGGAATTCTCAAATCCTACTTTGCAAGTGAAATGTGAGCATAATCCCGGCATCTGATCGAAAAATAAAAGGCACACGTGTGATAGATTATTGTCTCAGCTACAAGATACTCAAAGCCCAGCGAAAACAAAGCTAAAACAACGGATATTTTGCTCGCGAAAGACAGGAGTGTAGGATCCAGTTTTGAGAAAAAGTCATGTCCCTTAGAGAATACACGCAAAATGTGAAAAATTGACATGCCTCCTTTAATCGCAAAAATACGCCATGATGCCTTTGTTAAAATGAAAAATTGTAGTCACTATATTTGTAGAGAATTGTCTCAGACAGAACATACTAAAATTTGGAAGAAAAACATCAATTTTTACAGAGATACAATCAATTTTCCAAAAATATGCTTATGTCATAATATGCAAATTAAAATTTTGAGTTCGGAGGCCATTATGATAACGTCATGAGTTAGGTGAGGGTCAAATGAGACATGAAATCATATCTCCATTTCATAATCTATCTAAATATCAACAATAATTGGGAGTTTCTATCTATTCTGAAGAGTTACAATGAATTTTGTTTAGGCATGTTTTTGCCCATGTATTGTGGATAAAGATAACGCAGGCCCGCGCGTGCTGTCAACTTTGACGGACGCTCATTGCATTATTAAAAGGTGAGCAAGTTATGAAAATGCTTTGAAAAATGTGCCAAATATGAAAACAGAGAAAATTCGGCGATTCTACGTTGCAAAATGCTAGTACGCGCAAAAAACGCGCGTGCATGCGCGTATGCATGATTTTTTGTCAAATGCTCCAAATGGCCTGAAATGTATGCAAAAAATATTTGGGATGATTTGGAGGATTTTAAATTTTTGCGCGCACGTAAACGCGCAGACGAACGCGCAGGCGCGCATTTGCGCACATTTATTGACCCAAAATTGACCGGACAGATATTGATCTTAATCATGATAATTATGAATGAGAAATAACTTTCCGTTATGAAGATATGATCATAAGTTGATTTTCACAAAATGGCGCCTAGATGACGTCACGATGATGTTGAGTCTATGAAAAATCACACAGTTCTAAGTTAGACTAAGATCTATCATCATGGCAAGTTTCATGATAATGGCTTTAGCCATTCTTGAGATATCCTGCGAACAAAATTGAGGAAGAATAATAATAATTTCTTCTATACAGACACAAAATAAATACTAGACTTTAATTCGTCACTTTGACGAATTAGGTGATACGTATGCTCATGTGTAACATAATAAAGAACGCATTTTTACGATTTCATATTTCGTTTACTACTCCCATTATGGTCTATCCATGAGTCAAGTTTCAACTGTAGGGCAGAGGGAGACAGACCAAGAGAATAAGAGGGACGCAAGGCAAGAGAGAGAGAGAGAGAGAGAGAGGGAGAGGGTGAAAGAGAAGAGAGATAGATAGATGCAGAGACAGACCAAAAAAGGAGAGGGGCAGAACATGAGAGGAGAAGTAAAAGAGCAAGAGAGAGGAGAGAGAGAGATGCAATTGAGAACAATGCCTTCCAGATGACCATGATTGAAAGTGGTATAGCGCCCCCTTCAGGTATCCGATTGAGGATTGTTATATATGATAATTGACAAGTCACCTATGATTGAATTTTTAACTATGATAACGTCATGATAATGTTAGATAGTCTACACAAATCTTGTGGAAACTTGTCTCAGCTACAACATACTTAATAATCAACAAAATCCAAGCAGAAATATCGACGATGTTGCTCAAAACACAGGAATGTAGAATCCAGATTTGAGAAAAAGTCATCTCCCATAGGGATTACACGCAAAAAGTAATGGATTAAGTGAAAATAGGGTAATAAAAAAGTAAATAGGGTTGTTTTATACATTATTTGCGAATCTACATGTTTTATTAATCAAAGGAGATGGTACAGTGAAAGGTCAAATAGAAAAAAAAAAGTGGGAAAAAAAATTGTTGAAGACACCCGGACTTTAACCAGGGATCTCGAGGTTGGAAGTCAAGTGCGTTACCGATACACCAAAACATTTCCCATAGAAATTACACGTAAACGGGAAATCGAATGCTCAAGTCCTACTTTCGAAGTGCAATATGAGCATAATCCCGGCATCTGATCGAAAAAATGAAAAAATCTTCTGATAGCTTATGGTCTCAGCTACAAGATACTCGAAGCTCAGCGAAAACAAAGCTAAAACAATGGAGATTTTGTTCGCGAAAGACAGGAGTGTAGAATCCAGTTTTGAGAAAAAGTCATGTCCCATTGAGAATACACGCAAAATGTGAAAAATTGACATGCCTCCTTTAATCGCAAAAATACACCATGATACTTTTGTCAAAAATAAAAATTGTGCATACTGCATTTGTAGAAAATTGTCTCAGCTAGAACATATCAAAATTTGAAAGAAAATTGATCCATATTTACAGAGATACAATCAATTTTCCAAAAATATGCTGAGGTCATAATATGCAAATTGAAATTTTGAGTTTGGAGGCCATTATGATGACGTCATGAGTTAATTGAGGATCAAATGAGACATGAAATCATATTTCCAACTCATAATCTATCCAAATATGAAAAAATATTAGGAGTTTCTATCTATTCTAAAGAGTTACAATGAATTTTATATAGGCATGTTTTTGCCCATGTATTGTGGATAAAGATAACGCAAATCCGCGCGTGTTGTCAACTTTGACGGACGCTCATTGCATTATTAAAAGGTGAACAAGTTATCAAAATGCTTGGAAAAATGTACCAAATATGATGACAGAAAAAAATCGGCGATTTTATGTTGCAAAATGCCAGTACGCGCAAAAACGCGCGCGCATGCGCGTGTGCGTAATTATTTTATCAAATGCTCCATATGGCCTGAAACAAATGTAAAAAAAATTTGGGACGATTTGGAGCATTTTAAAAAATTTCGCACGCGTAAACGCGCAGACAAAAGCGTACGCGCATTTTTTTGCGCAATTTTTTACTTGAAATTGACCGGACGGATATTGATCTTAATCATGGTAAATATGAATGAAAAATTACTTTCCGTTATGAAGATATGATCATAAGTTGATTTTCACAAAATGGCGCCTGGATGACGTCACGATGATCTTGAGTCTCTGAAAAGTCACGCAGTTTTAAGTTAGACTAAGATCTATCATCATTACAAGTTTCATGATAATAGCTTTATTCAGTCTTGAGATATCCTGCGAACAAATTCGAGGAAGAATAATAATAAATAAATAAATAAATAAATAATAAAAATCTTGACGAAATCAAAAGGTGATACGTCTACGTACGTATCACCTAATAACTTTTGAATGTCCTCATTTGTTGACGTACCTTCGTGACTTGTTGCTCTCAATAAAAACGTTAATTTAGACAATCAAGGAAAATACAAATAAAATGAAAAAAAACTCAAATCATTTTCAAATGACTTCATATGTTAACGTACCTTCATGACTTGTTGCTCTCAATCAAAATATTAATTTAGACAATTAAGGGAAATACAAATAAAATGAAAACAAAATAATGGAATGGACAAAAATGAATATGAACTTTTGTGCAAAACATGTACCTAGTCAATATCATGTCATCCCATACATAATGTTACTCTAGATTTTGGTCATGTATATTAGTCATACATATTCTATTTCTATAATTACTACTCTTCTTGTTCTTTAGTCTGTTTATCTCTTGTAAAAATGCAGTGTAAAATTTCTGTAATACTGATGTGTTCTGTTATGAATGTTTTTGGACCTATGCTTTTACAAGGCCAAAGGGCTTTATTTATGTAGTTCCCCATTTCATTTTTCTAAATTTGTTTATGAATCATTTTGTATCTTTTGTATCAATGTAATTTTTTAATTGAGAATGACATAAATGAGAATTGAATATCATCTCTATATGGTCGAATTTACAAAAAATGGAATTAAATTCAAATTTCTCCCAGTGCAATGATGGTCACGCTGGTAACGGTGAGTTCTGTGGAGTGGATATCGACATGGATGGCCGACCTGTGGTGTCGCTTGAATGCAGTGATGGTTCAAGCAACGAATGCAAGGCAGATAATTGTGAGTTTGTACCGAACAGCGGGCAGGAAGATGTCGACGGTGATCAGATCGGAGATGACTGTGATAGGGATGATGATAATGATAACATATATGATCAAGAGGTGAGTTAATTTTGCATTCATTTAAAAAGTCTAACCATAATCTAACACTTCATGTGTTGCGGAAGCTTCAAATTTGAGAACCCAACTTTTTTATAATGGATGGCTAGATAATACTCACTACTATTACCTTGATAGTCATAACTATTTTGCAATGATAATAGTCATTACCATTATGTTATGATAATGATCATTATTTTCATTTACTATTACAGGATAACTGTCAGTATGTATCCAATCAGGATCAAGATGATACAGATGGCGACGGCTATGGTGATGATTGTGATGTCTGCCCTTCGACCTATGACCCGGACCAGGTCGATACCGATGGTGACGGAGAGGGCGATGAGTGTGATGATGATGACGATGGAGATGGTAAAAGATTTTAATTTATCTTGACTCACCGTTTTATAGATTTATATTAACTTGAAAGTGAGAGTTCTTTAGATTATTTTCCATGCCTTGAGTGTTTGGTATACATGATTCTATCTTACTGTACATGTACCCCTCTCTCTGCCTTTCATTCTCTGTCTATCCTTTTATATCACCAGGGGGGTGTTTCACAAAGACTAAGATCAATTTTAAGTTATACTTAACTATAGCAGGCCTTTCATGCCACCGGTTGCTCTCACCATTGGTCTCTCATGGGATGTCACAAATCTACAGAATTTACATATTTTGATAGTTCCCCTTACCAAAGTAAACAGCTAGTTAAGCCTGCACATAGCTGTTACTTAGCTGATACCATCTGGAACAGCTAAAAGTTTAGCTGTTATACATGCTAGAACAGCTAGTGGATAAGTTGTTACATTTACTTTGTGAAACAACCCCCTCCCCCCCCCCTGATCTGACCTGACCTGACCTGTAACCAGTGACCCAGTTTGAAACCCTTCTTTGAACCTTGTTTTCTATTTTAATAGGAATTTTAGACGTCAACGATAACTGCCCTCTGTACAACAGCACTGATGAGACCGATTCCGATGGTGACGGAGTTGGAGACGTCTGTGACAACTGCCCAGATAACTCAAATTCGGCGCAGACCGACACGGATCAAAATGGCTTCGGAGATACTTGTGATGATTATGATGGTACCAATATAGACCGGTAAGAATAATCACATCAGGGGGGTGTTTCACAAAGAATAAAGTTGACTTTAGGTTGGATTTAACTATGGCAGGCCATTCATGCCACTGGTTGCTCTCACCATTATGATCTTTAAATGATATTTTATCCTTCAATAAGGAACTATCAACCAATGTTAATTTTGTTGATTTGTGACCATGATTTGTACGTCCCTTGAGAGACCAATGCCAGTAAACAGTGAGAACAAACAGTGGCATGAGTAGCCTGCCATAGTTAACTCCAACTTAAAGTTAAACTTAGTCTTTGTGAAACACCCCCCTGTAATCATACTACAGTCAAACCTGCTTTAGTGACCACCTGTCTACAAAGGCCACATTTGTTGTTTCCCTTGAAAATGGTTTCTCATTGAAACATGTACTAAAGGAACCTGTCTACAAAGACCACCTGTCTACAAAGGCCACTTTTTGTGTTTCCCTTGGGTGGTCGCTGTAGACAGGTTTGACTGTACTACTTGCAGCATGATATGAACGTTTAAATATATATATATTTTGCCCTCCATGAGCTAATTTATTGTATAAAGTCAAAATAACAAAGAAACAATCATAAAGTTACATCATTTTGTCTGAGACTCACTTAGTTACAAACCGATTTTCTCATTTTTGTCATATAAATTAAAAGTGAAGTGAATAATAAGAATAATGAGGATTAAATATTGATATTCTTTCCAAGTACATTAAAATTGCATAAATAACAAAACATTCTAAAACTAAGGTACAGTATATAAGTTTGTTCAACATATACTCTGATTGCAAACAGTTGATGTATATTTGCCTTGTTTATTGCAACATTTACGTGCTTTTGTAAAGATTTCTTATTTGTTCCCATTATCTCGTTTGTTTCAGTGATGGCGATGGGATTATTGATATTGCTGATAATTGCTTGGTTATACCGAATGCCGACCAAACAGATACAGATAGCGATGGAATCGGTGAGTTGTTTGGAGTACATGTTGCTTTTTGATACAAATTGAGTTTGTTTACTGGATAAGAGAGAGGGGAGAGAGAGGGAGGGAGAGGGAGGG